AAATGATTCTCTGCTTTTTGCATGTAGCAGATGCAGGATATATATATGTTTTTCACTTAATTTTAGCTCTTGGGGGGAAACGTATGCAGGTTTTACATTCATTTACTGAGGCTAGAGGAGATATTTCTTACTTTGGGTTCCCCAAGAAGCTGTCTTCTGACAGTTGCGTTTTGATTGGAGTGTAAATAGTTTACTCAGAGGTGGGCCCAGGAGCACTGACAGGGGAGTAGGGAAAGAAGATGGGACTGCTGTGGGCATCGGAGCTTAGATCTGCTGGGAAGCTCGGGGCAACAGCGTGGACCAGGTGCAGCAGACCCATCCCATCCAAGACGCAAGGCCTGGGGAGCATTCTGCAATCCTCATCAGTCACAGATGAAAGGCTTCTCCTAGGGGGCAGTGATTTTCTGACCCATCCAGTCTGCACCATGTTTGAGCACAGGGGACTCTGATGACTAGGAAAAGCCCCCAGGCCAAAAGATCTGGCACTGACATTTGGGAGTGGAGCCAGCAGGCACAGAAATGGCACTGGCCCAGGAGAATTAAGTGGAGTTCAGGCAGTATCTGCTGCCGAATACTTGTGTATCTTCCTCTTATCCAGCTTCTCTGTCTTCCAGAAGTTATTTTGTGTTTTAACATCAGCATTTTAGCTATAGATGGTGGAGAAAGTCTAAAACTATATAAGAAAATACAGCGTATCATAGTTCTATCCCTAAATAGCCACCTTTAGTAACCTAATTTTCTCTGCTGGTAGGTTTGGAAATTTAGTTAGTTGCTCAATATTATGGAATAATTTTTAAATGTTGAGATATGCTTAAAAGAGAAGTCACACTTATGCTATTGGATGTTCCATCTTCAGTTATTTTTAATCTAAGATGTTGAGTTGAAATATATTGCTTCTTTCCTAAATGGTTTTTGACGATTGCTACTTCTGCCCACAAATTATCCACAGCAGAGTGTGTGCTCAGTGTGGCAGGGAACTTGCCTCTTTTCTTTGTCTTGGCATTGTCACAAGCACAGTGCCCAGCGCCTACTTGGTGTTTGTCAAATACTTGTTGGAAAGGAATTGTGAGATGAATAAGGTCACAAGATAGAAGGAGAATCTCTCCAATTCTGCAAATTTCTGTACATAAGCATTTAAAAAAAAAAAAGAAAACTCACGTATTTCATTCTGCAAATGAGATTGCGGAGAAAAAAGGTAGCAATTCAGCCATTCTCATTTCTTTAGGTTTGCAATATTTTTATTTCAATAGCATAATTAAGATAGACAAAAAAATAGAATGTTTATATATATATCACATTGATATGGTTAATGGCGGTGATGATGCCACAAGCTGCCCTTTGGCCAAGGTCTCAAGTACACTTTCAGAGGAAGGAGCATGCCATTCAAAATCAGACCATTGCAGAGACAATGAGAAAAGCAAAAGCACTTGCTGACCACTGGGGGAAGAACAGCACATGTTGGATGCATCACCGCAGAGCAGTAGTTTTATATTTCCTTGTATTGTCTGGCAAAGGCAACATCAAACTCACACTGCTTCCTCATGGCAAGAGATAAATAAAGGAAACAAGAATAGGTAAGTGTGTATTAAAATAGAAGCTCTTCATTTCCAAGTACTCTTTTCATAAATATAAACATTTATAAATTGCTCTTCAGGAAAAAAAAAAAGCTTTCAAGAAGAAAGCAAATATTCAATAGACTCCTAATCATTAATCTATTATTCAATAGACAATTTATCTAGGTAACTAGTCAAGATGCTTCAGATTTAATAAATATTCTTTCATTTATTCATTCCACTGAATGTGAAAGATCAAGTCTCTTCCCTTAAGGAATTTACAGTCCAATAGAGGGATACAGACAATACATTAAAGAAAAGAATATACATGTTTTCAGATGGTTGTGGATGTTCTATAGGAAATAAAATATTGAAAATAAGTTAGGGGCCAGGCTCGGTGGCTCAGCCTATAATCCCAGCGCTTTGGGAGGCCGAGGTGAGTGAATTGCCTGAGCCTGTGGGTTCAAGACCCGCCTGGGCAACTTGGTGAGACCTCATCTCTACAATAAATCAAAAAATTAGCTGGGCATGGTAGTGCGCCTGTAGTTCCGGCCGCTTGGAAGGCTGAGGCAGAAGGATCGCCGGGGCCCAGCAGGCCAAGACTGCAGTGGCCAGGAGCAGCCACTGCACTCCAGTCTGGGTGACAGAGTGAGACTTCAACTCAAAAAAAAAGAAAGAAAAAGAAAATGAGTTAAGATGGTCAGCCTCGCTGAGGAGTTGACACCTTCACAAGCAGGCCAGAAAGAGGAAACTCACAATATGAAGTTCCCAAAGTGGAAAAGAGCTTGGAGGGTTGGAGGAACAGAAAGGCGGTGCAGTTGGAAGGTGGTGAGTGAGAGGAGGTGAGCAACGCTGTGGTCTGGATGATGTGAGCTCATGCACTTTTCCGGGGTTCAGTGATACTCTCTTGAAGGATGGAAACTGATGGAGAACTATGGTTCCAAATCTTCCTCCATCCTGGAAAACCTCGCACAAAGGTAGGAGAGGAAAAAAGACTGTATTACCGAGTAAGCATTTAACTAGAATGCGATGCGTATCTTAGCTAGTCTGCTAAGGACATCACACAAACAGAAAGACACCTCTTTTTTTTAGCACAGTTAAGACAACCTACAATGTTAGGCAGGTTTTGCAACTTGGAGTCAGGTGACGAGTCAGGATTATCTCCTCCCAGAAACTATTATCTTTCTCGATGATTCCGTTTTAAAAAGAGGAGAACCAGAGCAAGACCATGGTGGCTTGGTCTGGGTAATGGAAATGGAGTTGGAGGAAAGAGTGTGAATTAGGATATATGTATTAGTTGGGGTTCTCCAGAGGAATAGTATGGGTGTGCACGTGTAAAGAGAGAGGAGAGAGAGACCGAGAAGGAGAGAGACAGAGAGATAGGAAGAAATTGGCTCACACAATTGCTGAGGCTGGCAAATCCAAAATCCGCAGGGGTGGGCTGGAAACTGAGGAAAGAGTTCATATTGCAGTTCAAATCCAAAGGCAATCTAAGGCAGAACTCCCTCTTCAGGGAATTCTTTCTTTTCTGTCCTCCGTTTGCTTTCTCTTAAGGCCTTCACCTGACTGGATGAGGCCCACCCACATTAGGAAGGGTAATCTGTTGTGCTCAAAGCCAACAGATTCAAATGATGATCTCATCTTTAAAAAAGAAAAAAACTTTCACAGCAACATCCTGACTGGTGTTTGATCAGATGGTGACTGGTGTTTGATCTGAATAGCATGACTCAGCTAAGTTGACACACGAGGTTAACCATCGCAGTATATTTTTGGACTGAGCCAAGGCAGAAAGTTACTCATTTTTTCCCACTAGGCACGCACAGCAACAAAATGAGATCATGCGTGGACAGTAGTTCAGCCAGATGGGAGAAGATTTGGGCGGGCATTCCATGCTCTGTTGACAGATGTCAGCCCCAGAGAAGTCAACAGAAGCAGGCGTTCTGATGTGAGGCTTTACTGAGTTCCGATTCCAAGAAATCAAAGCTGCTGGATGAGTGACCCAGCTTGGAGATCCAGGCAGTGGTTTGAAGTCACATAGAATGAGGAACTCAAGTAAGATAGAGGCATGAGGTATCTGACTAGTGTGGAGAGTAGATATAGGAGTGTATCAGGAGAAAATAATCTTTTGAGTCAGAAGTTTATGATAAGCTTTAAGTGTATGGTTCTAGAACTGATCTCAGAGTGTAAGTGGTGCCAACCTCATGGAGTGGAGTACAGTAAATAGAATGTAACTTGAGAAAATGCTTTGTAAACACTGAAGGTCTCTACTGGTAGTACTAGTCTAACTTTGTTTTATTTTGCTGGGATGATTTGATGAAAAATAATGAACTAATTTAGTCATAGCCCCAAACATTTGCAATGTTACCAGCTCATTTTGAAGCAACCACGTAAGTAGAAAGGACTGGGTAAAACTTCACAAGAAATGCTTACATTTATGCCACAAAACTAAGAGAAATCAGTACCTTTTATTTGTATATCCTTTAAAAGTAAACCAAAAAAATCTTTACATAAATTCAATTTTGATTTAAGGGGAAAAAATTATGCTTACCAGAGAACTTTTTCCCTCTTTTGCAAGAGGAAGTCAAGTTTTGCCAGCTAGCAGCTATGTGCTTTAAGTATAATCCATCCTTACAGATTGACTTTAAATCACCGGTCCCTTTTTAAACTTTTTTTTTTTTTTTTTTTAATCATGGTCTCACTTTGTTGTCCAGGCTGGAGTGCAGTAGCATGACCATGGCTCACCACAGCCTCAGCTTCCTGGACTCAGGAGATCCCTCTGCCTCAGTCTCCTGAATAGCTGGGACTATAGGCAAGTGTCACAATGCCCAACTAATTTTTTTTTTTTTTGTAGACGAGATCTCAGTATGTTTCTTAGGCTACTCTCAAACTCCTGGGCTCCAGCAATTCTCCTGCCTCAGCCTCCCAAAGTACTGGGATTACAGGTGTGAGTCACTGTGCTCAGCCTGTACTCAGCCATATGTAGATTTTTTTCTCTCTGTCTCAGAGAGGGTTAAGATGTGTCATAAAAACCCATTTCTTTGAATCCATTTCAAAATGCATTTAAATTTACAGCTTATTGTATTCATCTTATCTAAATTTTCTTTTCTCAGAATAATATGATTCTCTTCTGTTATCTGACTTTTATGTTCACTCCATGACAATTCGTGAGCATGTAAGGTGATCTTTTCATTATGAGCTAGGACATCTTGAAGACACTGATTGGGTGGTAGCACTCTGGAAGCCCTCAATCTAGGTGTCTCTCCAGTCTCAGGGATATCCAGGAGAGAGCTGGCCTAGGCAGTCACCTGCACCTTTATTCCTGGATTCATAAGTCTTTAGAGAAATGGAGAGTGGAAACTTTTGCCCTAAAATATTGTCCTTGTAACATGAGACCGTTTAACCATGCTTTCTTCCTTCCTTTTTTTTCCTTCTTTTTTCTTTAAACAGACACGAGGCAATTTTTAATCTACAATGAAGATCACAAGCGCTGTGTAGAAGTAATAAGTCCCAGTGCAGTCCAAACCGCAGCTTGCAACCAGGATGCTGAGTCCCAGAAATTCCGATGGGTGTCTGAATCCCATGTTATGAGTGTTGCACTTAAATTATGCCTGGGAGTGCCATCAAAAACCGACTGGGTTCCTGTCACTCTCTATGCCTGTGACTCAAAAAGTGAATTGCAGAAATGGGAGTGCAAAAATGACACGCTTTTCGGGATCAAGGGAGAAGATTTATTTTTTAACTATGGCAATAGACAAGAAAAGAATATTATGCTCTACAAGGGATCTGGTTTATGGAGCAGGTGGAAGATCTATGGAACCACAGATGATTTGTGCTCTAGAGGGTATGAAGGTAGGAAGCTTGGAATTTTTATTTGTCAAGTTTTCTCATCTTCTTAGTTGGAAACTAATTCAAGAAAATAAACACAGGCTGGGCGTGGTGGTTTATGCCTGTAATCTCGGCACTTTGGGAGGCCAAGGTGGGAGGACCACTTGAACCCAGGATATCAAGGGTGCAGTGAGCTATGATCGTGTCATTGTACTCCAGTCTGGGCAACAGGGTGAGACCCCTACTCGAAAAAAGAAAAAAGAAAAAAAGAAAAAATCACGTTCTTGTTTGGTGTATACTAGAAATACTAATTGATCACCTTCTTTGTGATTTGAACTATGTTGTGTTCTTTGAGACTATGATGGTAAATAAATGTGGTAAAAAGTCATAAATGGGTGCTTGAGCTATTTGAAATTAGCAAGAAGACATTTCTTTTAACTTTCTTGAGGATTTTTTAAAACTATGAGTTACATTTTTTAGAAAATAAGGTTCACTGGAGTCTTTGACCCAAAACCTCCTAGTAAATATTATAAAGTTATAGTGATAAATGGAATAGAACCAAATACTTTTCCTTTGGTTTGAGTTATTCCTGGAGAAATGATCCATGGAACTACATTCTCAACCAATTTAGATTGCCTAAAATCAAATCTTGGCAAATTCCTTGACAACGTGGGATTCTAAATGCTTCTGATATGTTTTGTCTCCTTATGGATATTTAGAGATTGTAATAGTCAGAGGATTAGAAAAGCTGAGGACTTAGCATATAAATGAAAATGCAGTATATTTAGTTAGTTGTCTTAGAAATTGATACCACCAATGGAAGAGGGGGATCATCTTATATGCGGCTGGTTTCTTGAACTCTTGAAGGTTAAATGAAATCAGAGCATTTAGTCTTCTCTTATATAGACCAAATTTCATTCTCGGGTGGCTGCACAGAAAAAACAAACCAAAAATAAGGAAGAATTTGAAGCCTTTTACAAAGGCTGATCTCTCAAGTCAGATGATGTTATAACCACATTTCAGGCTTGGATACTTGGTTATTTGTGAAGTTTTATCTAGAACTACCTCAAGGTCAGAGAAAGAGCCTGACTTTGGGGACAAGAGATAACCTGTTTCTAAAATTGCTGTGTTACACGGGGGTTGCCGATAGGTTGAAGCTAGCTTATCACAGCTAAGATGGAGCATAGGAACTCAGTTTTCTTTGTAAGGACGTTATTTGTAAGCTTTCCATTTTCCTTAAAGAAGCGAGGAGAGTAGAAATTGAAGTAGGGCAAGAGAAGGACTCAGAAAGAAGTTATGTTGAAGGGTTTCTTGAACATAAAGTAGATTTAGAAGTCATATGAGAGGCAACTTAAGTAGTGCGACCTTCCTGGAGAAACTCAATAAAAAATTATAAGTCAGACAAGGGTGAACTAAACTTGACTGAGTCAAATTCCACAGATGGGGCAATTGTGCTAATTGAGGAAGTCAACTTGAGGAAGATTGGTGCTAAGATGTTGAACTTACTGCATTTTAAAATACAATACAAGGCTGGGTATGGTGGTTCACACCTGTAATCCCAGCTCTTTGGGAAACTGAAGCAGGAGTATTGTTTGTGGCCAAGAGTTGGAGAACAGCCTGGGCAACATAGCGTGAACTTGTCACTAGAAAAAAAAAAAAATTAACCAGGTGTGGTGGCACACACCTGTAGTCCTAGCTACTGAGGAAGTTTATTAACAAGGCAGAAGGATCGACTGTGCCCAGGAGGTCAAGGCTGTGGTGAGCCGTGAGTGTGCCACTGCACTGCAGCCTGGGTGACAACGTGAGACTCAAAAACAAACAAAGAAACAAATAAATAAAAACCAAGAAAAAAAATACTGTAGCTCCCCTTCCTCACCCTTCCTGTGCTCCCATTAACCTTGAGACAAATATGCATAAAGTTTAGGAAAGTGGTTTTCAAACTTCAATATGCTTAAGAATCACTTGGAGAGCGTGTTAAAAATACAGATTCTCAGGTCTCCCTTTTATCTAAATTCTGAGTAAGCCTATCAGGGAAGAGCCTAGAAATTTATTCAATTATATTTTTGAAGGCCTCGGTGGTTCTGAGGCAGATGGTCCACTGGCCACATTTTGCAGACTCTCCAAAGATCTTCCAGTACTTAAGATATTCCTACTAGAGGGTCTAACCCTTCAGAAAGACCACAAGATCTTGAACTGAAACGTTTGTTGGAACTGAAGACACCGTAGAAAGGATATATCGTTGAGTCTTTTTCTTTCTGACAAAAACTTGGATAGAAGGGCAGAACTGGTTGAAGAATAGGATTATTTCAGAAAAATGGAACCAGATTTGTAGACTTGGATGGATTTGATGGTTGCCTAAGAATTTGCCAGTGAGGTATCTGGGTTCTTTTGGTCTCGTCAGTGCCTGGTGTATAGGATGGCTCAGTAATTATTAAATACACTGAGTTAGTCCTGATAAAGCTATTTCTGATGGGCGTCTGCAAATCCAGCACTGAAAATGTTTTGGCCAACTTAAAGAACAGTACAACTAGCCCCAAGGTGATCTTCCCTAGTTTTCTTGATATGAAGAAACAGATATCCCAGTGACTAAGAGAGGCACAATTATTCCTGAATCCAGCATGTTCTTTACACATTATACGATTTTGAAAAATTGGTCTTGTCACTTCATGGAACTAAAGCTAGAATAGCATCTGAAGTTTATTAACAAGTAACTCATCGAGGTTATTTTGAGGTAATTAAAAATAAACCTAGCATTTAAGGGGGACTGAATAAAAATAATGAGTAAAGGAAAAGGAAGAGAAGTAGAGAATTAACTTTTATTGTGCTCTTAATATGTGCTACATATTTTACAAATCTTGTATTATCTTTAGGACTAAATGTCTTAATAACTTTTTCAAGTCATAGAATCTAATTAAGAAAAGAATTCCTACCTAGGATAAATCCTGAATGTCAATTGATGGCAAGAGGGCAAATACTTCAGTGTAAGGGTTTCTGTCTCCCAAAGATGAAGCATTCCCTAGAAAGATAGGGACTTTAAGCATACTGGACAATGTAGCTACGTGAGTTGTTTGGTTCTTAATGGAGTTATGAGCATCTCTAAGCTTAAGCCAAACTATAATCAACAGTGATCTACATTTGTTTTAATTTACCTTTCTGGTTGAATCCAGAGCTTTCCACTTGGCCTGTCTGCATTCATTTGTGAAAAAGGCAAATATTGATTGTAGATGCTATCTAATAGTTTTGAGGGATTTCTTTTCGTGACGTGGGTTAGAGAACGATGACAACATTTCTATCCTTTCTCATTGTCATTGTTGGGGGACTCAAGTGGAGGCTGGCATAACAGGGAGTGGCCAGAGAGGATTTGAGTACTGGCTATGCATTTGGGCTACACAGCGTTAAGATTGTATTCAATCTAGAGATTCCATAATGCTATGATTCCAACCAAAGTAAAGACGGCCTCTTTGTTTGGAGGAAATGCAGAAGTTAAAGCTACTGTAAGAAGAGGAAGAAAGAAAGTCTATTTTAGAAGACAGTGAAAATGAAATGATATACTAGGGTTATTCCTAAGTACAGATTGCTGTATGTACCCAACAAGAGATTAGAGGGGGAGAGGGATAGAGGGAGAAGAGAAAAAAAGGAAAAGAGGGATCCCCTGTGTAGGTACATCAAGTATGATCAGAAGAGTCAGACCAATTCCTTCAGTGTGCTTCTTACTGGAAAGTTAGCGCTCAGCAAAGCCATTTGCTTTCTAAGTGCCAATCAATTTGTCTCCCTAGCCATGTTCACGCTGCTGGGCAATGCCAATGGGGCTACCTGCGCCTTTCCATTCAAGTTTCAAAACCAGTGGTATGCAGATTGCACGAGTGCTGGGCGGTCAGACGGATGGCTATGGTGTGGAACCACTACAGACTATGACACAGATAAACTATATGGATATTGTCCATTGAAATGTAAGTAGCTATTTCCTCAAGAAAAGTTGGGCATGTTTCATCTGGCATGTGAGGGCAAGAACTTGCACTTGTCTAGAGCATTTTCCCTAAAGTTATTTCACATATATTCTCGTCATATCCCACCACAACCCTTTGCAAACGTGAATGGACCCATTTTGCAATGGAGAACGCTATCCACGTTGGCTGAAGATGAAGACACCGAGTTTTTGGGCTCTCAGCCCTGGGCTTTTTATATCTAGTATTTAGATCTTGCTAAGAAGACTAGACTGCACCTCTGCTACCTCAATGTTCACTGAGATCATCCTGAGAAGACACTACACCCCCATGGTACCAGCATTCCCTATATTAAATGACCTTCTTGTTTTTACCAACTCCCAGTTATTTTCTAAGACTTTAGGGCCAATTATGGTATATAAAATGTAGTATACTTAATGGTTGAGGTAGGCTGCTATTATTCCCTCACCCCCCAAATGCTTTATATTTATGAAACCATAGATCAAAAACAGGATTCAACTGAAGACACAGGCATGAGGTTTGATGAAGAGAGAGACATGAGGAGGCTCTTAGATTCTGTGTCAATGTCATAATGAAAATGACTCCTCATGGCAGAAATGATAGTCATGATAATGCTTCTTAAATTAATTTAAGAAGAGTGTCTTTAATTTAACACATCCAAGAACAAATGGAAGTGGGTAGTTTATGGCTGAAAGTCTTTTTTTTGAGTCGGAGTCTCACTTTGTCACCTGGCTGGAGTGCAATGACACAATTCGGCTCACCTCAGCCTTGACCTTCTGGGTTCAGGCAGTCCTTTTGCCTCAGCCTCCTGAGTAGCTGTGACTTATGGGCATACACCACCACACCTGGTTAATTTTTTGATTTTTTTGTAGAGACGAGGTCTCACTATGTTGCTCAAGCTCATCTTGGACTCTTGGGCTCATGCAGTCCTTCGCTTTGGCCTCCCAAAGTGCTGGGATTAAAGGTGTGAGCCACCATGCCTGGTCATTGAAGGTTTTCTTTTTTTTTTTTTTGAGTTGGAGTGTCACTCTGTCACCCAGACTGGAGTGCAGTGGCTGCTCCCGGCCACTGCAGCCTCGACCTGCTGGTCTCCAGCGATCCTTCCGCCTCAGCCTTCCAAGTAACCGGAACTACAGGCGCACGCTACCATACCCAGCTAATTTTTGATTTCTTGTAGAGATGAGATTTCGCCAAGTTGCCCAGACAATTCTCGAACCCACAGGCTCAGGCAATCCACTCACCTCGACCTCCCAAAGTGCGGGATTACAGGCTGAGCCATCGAGCCGGCTGAAGGTGTTTTAAGAATGAAAATTCAAGCTTTATTGCAATAATGCAAAAGAAGTGGTAGTACATTAAATTAGTGGGAAGGTACCAGGACAGATGAATTCCTAGTAGCCTTCCACAATCTGTGAATAGACAGTGCAGCAGGTTTTAGGTGAGAAGCAGGGGGACATCAGCGTTGGGAGGCAGAGCTAGGGCTAAGGAAAGAGGAAGAGTTCTTTGCTTCACTTTCCCGTCACAGACACCCTCTTCCTGCTGCTAGGTGTGACCTTTCTAAATTTCTAACCACCTCCCCAGCCCCCACCTCTCGCCTGCTATTTCCGACCAGATCAGAGCAGCCCCCGGTTTCCTGGTATCATCCAGAACTCTTTCTCCTGCCTCCCTGCAAAGGGGTAGGGAAGGGGAAGAGCATGGATGTGGTCAGGGATGGTTGTGAAACTGCCTGAATTGCAATGGCATCACTTGCAACTCAACTTTTGGGACCACGCCTCCTCACATGATCACATGATTCTAAGTAAAACAGTCCAGCTTGCAAAAAACAGTTTGCCAAATGAAAGCTCGGATTCGAAGAATTGTGCTTATTTATCTTTTTTGATTTCTAATCCCTAATCATCCTGCTAAAAGTAAATTTGATTCCTCAGCCCATATATTGTTGAAATTGTCTTCTGAGTGCAGTTCCTTCTTTCTGGATGAATAACCACAAAAGCCCAAAGGCTTCCTGTTCATAGTGACACTTCTCCTGGTCTTGACAAAGATGTACTGGCCTCTCTAATATCGACTTTTAGAGTTTTGATTCCGATTAAAGGTTTATAGAGATTGAATTTTTATATTAGACATCTTTGTGTCTGAAACAAATTGAGCTATTCCCCCCCGCCCCCGAAGGTAAAGCAGTACTTGTTTTTCGGTAATTGAGAAGTATCTCTCTCCTTTCCTTAATGGGAATGATGTTTTCTAAATCTGTCTCACGGAGTTTCGTGGGTCCAGTCATAGCATCCCCCACTTAAGTGTTACTGACAAAGGAATTAGATGAATGTGTGGTTTAATGAATGAAATGTGGGAGATGAAAGGAAAGTCACTAATCACAAAGAAAACTCACAGCCTTGGATATTCTTGAATATGTGTTAGAGTGATATCTTGAGCATGTTCTTTGGAATAACTTTTGCATCTTGTCCCTTGCAATTTATGTCTTCGTTGCCAAATTATGCATTATTTTCCGCTAAATGTAACAGTACAATCATCACAGAAAATTTTTTTAAAAACTGATTTGATATCATAGGCATTCAAATTTTAAAGCACATTTTATACATTCAGGCCTTTCCGAATGGGCTTTGTAATCTCCCAATCGATTTCACTTTGTCTTCTTTTCAGAAGAACTTTTTATTTTATGTCAGCCTTAAACTGACAGGTTCAATACACGAAGATGAGGTACCAGTTATTGACCTAGTGACACCGACTATATGCTTTTCATTGTCTGTTGCATTGTTTATTGCAATGTTTTCCTTGTATTTAGACATTTATTTTCAAGTTATCATGAGAACAGGAAAAGGAAGAGACCCTTTTCTCTCAATTCTCTAGAGCTTGCAACTTTGACTTCCAGCATGGGTTGTGTTGGTTTACTGTGAGAATTTAAACTCCTCGGGGAGGTGTTATAGAGGCAGAAAACCTATACATTTATTGAGAAATATTTTTTAATCCCTTGATTTAAAATACAAATTACACTTTCTTTAAGTGAAGAGTCAATTACGTTTTCTTCTTTGGTCATTTAGATTGCTTTCTTCCATTCTTGGGCAAGAAAAGAATTCTCCCTTTTTAATATCTCACAATTTCTTTTTTTGTTGTTTTTTCTTTTCTTCCGAGTTGGAGTCTCACTCTGTCACCCAGATTGGAGTGCAGTGGCCGCTCCCGGCCACCGCAGCCTCGACCTGCTGGGCTCCGGCGATCCTTCCGCCTCAGCCTTCCAAGGAGCTGGAACTACAGGCGTGCGCTACCACGACCAGCTAATTTTTTGATTTATTGTAGAGATGAGGTCTCGCCAAGTTGCCCAGGCGGGTCTCGAACCCGCGGGCTCAGGCAATCTACTCACCTCGGCCTCCCAAAACGCGGGATTACAGGCTGAGCCACCGAGCCCAGCTATCTCACATTTTCTATTATATTATAAACAAAACCTGTAGATTTCTAAAACTAATTGTTTAAGGTATTTTCATCTTCAAGTAAACCCCCAATCAGTCTCATTTGAATGATCTCACTTCTGTAGATATTAAACGTCAGATCATTAGCACCTAAATTTAGCGTTACTAATTCAAACTTATTTTTATGCAAACATAATGATTGTATAGTTTAAACATCTTAGATATGTCTATGCTGTTGCCTGAATCCAATTTTGCTATGTCTCTTCCCCTTTGATGTGTCATAGGGCCGCAAGTTTCATATCACAGTGGGTGGTCCATGTGTGACAGAAAGGTCTGCATTACTTCCTCATTGGATACAAAGCACAATTAGATACAGAGTTAAGAATCACAACAGTGTGACCTATATGCTTATGAAAGCTGTCTGACCTCTTAGCAAACTGAGTACTTCTCAGAAAAATTTGAGAAGTTATACAATCCTTTCTCTCTTCCTTACAAATAAATAAAAAGACTATTGCTTTGCATGGTATCTAAGTAGAATTTTATATTAGCAAAAAGAAAGAAGATACATTTTCACAACACAAAGTATACAAAAATATTTCATTTGTTTAAGGGTAATAGAATTAGATAAAGGTGTGATTTTATGTAGCGGACAAATGGTAAGTCACCAATCACAGAGAAAACTCACAATCTTGGATATCTTGAATACGTGTAACCTCCCAAGCATTTTCTACGAAAAAGGGCTGTAAATAATTCTTCTCCATCTGGATATCATTGACCTATTGTAGAATACATCTCAGTTGATGGAGTATGTTGAGAATCATAAAATAGCAAAGGAAAAAAACTAAGCTGAAATAATTATTTTTTTACTCTGAGGAAATACAAACTAACAATCAGCATTTATTATTGCTAAACTCTTTGCCTATGTTGAATACGTTCTAGCAATAAGAAAATGAGACTTCAAAAGCTAATCATTTATCTGAGGCCACATCCCCAGTGAGTGCAGGGCAGGTCAGCCTGTCTGCAGGAGTCCACGACCTTCCTGCTCTTGCTCTGTATTTCCAAAAAGACCAAATGAGAATGTGCAGATGAAATGTCCACTTGCTGAGAGAAGACATATATTTATTTTCTCTTCTCTCCCCTTCCTTTCCCCCCCCCCCCAGATTAAAGAAGGTGGTCTGGTATTTCTAACCTTTGTCTTTATATTTGCCTTACTTCCAAGCTCCTCTGACCCCAAATGTTCTCCCCCCAAAATTGGGAGAGGAGTCATTCCTTTCTTTCTTTAGCACATGAAAGAAAGTAGATGTGGCTGACTCTTTGAGACTCTCCCACCCCCAACCCTCACTTCATTTCAGGAGTGAAGAAAATCTCATTAGCACTTTAAGAAGCAAAAGAGGCCAGGGTGGTGGCTCACGCCTGTAATCCCAGCTCTGTGGGAGGGCAAGGTGGGAGGACTGCTTGAGCCCAGGAGGTCAAGACTGCAGTGAGCCAGGATTATGCCACTGCACTTCAACTTCGGTGACAGTGAGATCCTGTCTCAAAAATAATAGTAAATAATAATAGTAAAAGAGGCTTGGCATGGTGGCTCAAAATGTAATCCCAGTGCTTTGGGGCTTTGGGGCTTTTGGGGCTTAGGAGGACTGCTTAAGGCCAGAAGTTCAAGACCAGCCTAGGCAGTATAACAAGACCCTCATCTCTACAAAAACATAAACAAACAAACAAACAAATAAATATAAAACTTTATGCTTCAGGTAATAATGCTACTAGGTGGCTTAAAAAATATTGTTCACTAGAAGTGTTTTCTAGCCTAATGCAACGAATTCCACTTGACTTCTTTCCCAGTTGAGGGCAGTGAAAGCTTATGGAATAAGGATCCTCTGACTAGCATCTCCTACCAGATCAACTCCAAATCCGCTCTCACATGGCAACAGGCAAGGAGGAGCTGCCAACAACAGGAGGCTGAGCTTTTGAGCATCACGGAGATACATGAACAAACCTACCTGACAGGTAATGACATGAATGGAAACAAAGTTGTAAGTAAAATCACGATCACTTTCTTTCTATACAATGCAACTTAAGAATAGACAACACAAGTACTTATAGACGCCATGACAGTGTTGGTTCCTAAGCAGATTATGCAGATAATATGGCATCTACACTCTGAAAATGACATCAAGGTGACAAATAGGTCTCATCTTATGAGCCAACTCTTGGTTGTGATGGTCTCCAGAGCTAAGAAGGATTCTGTGGACTAATCTGGATGGGCTCAGAGTAAAAGATGCCACAATCAATTCATGATTTTTTTTTCTTGGATACGTGGCAGTGGTACCATGCTGGTCAAGCAGTCACTACCCAGGTCTAGCCTGAAGCCAAAGGTTTTTCATTAGCACCCTAGAGTTCAAAGTGATAAAACGAAACGCTGCCATGACCGGCAAAGACAAATCAAGGGCTTCTCTGAAACCCTTTTGTCTCTCATCTCTCTAAATTTCAGACTCAACTTGTTTTCAGGTCTTATTGATATTCTTTCCATGATTTTTTTTTTTACATCTGTCCTTGTAAGAATGTGAAGATTAAAAGGGCTAATGTTTGCTTAAGAAGGGAATAACTGTTTTAGCTTCCAAAATATACACTTGGGGACTCAGAGAGATTAGGACCAGAAATTAATGTGAAAGCAAAAGCATCACCATTTCCTTGCCTCCAAAATCCTCTCCCTTCAGCTGATGTGGACACTGCTACTCACTAATGTGTTTCTATTCCTATGAAAGCCATGTTCATAAAGCCCTGAGTGGCTTCTCAATTCCCAACATATAATTAACAAAATGCCTTTGCCTGACATTCAAGACTGTCATCTGTCCACCTACGACTGTTCTCAGGTGTGCATTTTTCAATCTTGACAAAAGAAAAGTCTTGTGCTCCTCACTGGGTCTCCTACACTCTTACCCCCACATCTCTCCCTGCGCTGTTTCTTTTGCCTGGAATTCCCAGCATTTTATACAGTCGGAAGGCAATGCTGTCCCTTTCCACCTGCGTTTCTCTTGTTTGCTTCTTACCACTTTTATAACAGTTACTGTCATAGGTGTCTCACTGCCCCTAGAAGGCTATTAATATATTAATTCGGTACTTTTTACCCATCCATGCATGCATCCATTACACAAGATATCTGGTACCTGTGTGCCAGGCTTTATGCTGGATCCCAGGGACATCAAAACTGACCCTGTCTTTTCCACATGGAGCTTAAAGTTAACAGGGAAAACAGACATGAACAAGAAAACCAACAAATGAATAACTACACATGACAGTAAGTGTCACCCAGAAAACAAACCAAAGTCTGGATGGAGACTGGATCAGAGGAGTAGATGGCTGAAAACGAGGGGTGTTGTGTGAATATCTGTGCTCCCTCCTTCCCCTAAGGAGGTTCACACAGAACCTTCCAAAGAAGAGAGTCTCGGTGAAGGTTTGCTGACTGAAAAATGAGGTTGCAGCAAAATGAAAGTGATTACTTAGATATTCTGCCTCATGTTTGGACCACTGGACTGGGAGGTTTGTTAAAGTCAAAAGGCCCAGGCCAGACCCTGGCGATTCCAGATCAGTAGCTGCAGGACTCAGGAACCCGCATTTTATTAGCCTCTCAGGTGCTTCTAGGGCAGGTGGTTGAAGGATCATGTATTTTTATTTCTAGGTACCAACATCAGGTAGCAGGGTGTGCGGGTTAAAAGCATAGACTCTGAAGCCAGGCTGTCTAGGTCCCGGTTCTGTGAAACCAGGGGAGCTTGAGGGGATTTCCTGAGGCATCTGTGCCTCAGTGACTTTTGTTAAAAGGGATAATGTGTACAAGCCAACACAAGGACTGAGCACATCTCCCAACCTTGCCTCATTCCCTAGTACTTCCCTTTTTCCAGTTGTTTTTTCAGTTGTTGATATTAGCCCTTCACCAACCAGAACACATGTCTCCTATAAGCTATTTAGAAGGAGGCTGAGGATAGGAAAACAATACGGTCTCCCTGTGTGCATTCATAAACGTATATAGGATTATACCTCAGTCTGCTCAATCATTCTGTTTTGTGTTGGTCTTTGGGACCCTTCTAATATCGGGTCAAAGAATCAGAGAAATTCATTCTTATAATCTTGTATTTAAAATAAAGAGAAAGCGAAGAAAGCACAGACAGAAAGAGAAGAAAATAAATTCATGCAGATGATTAAGAAATAAGAAGATAATTCAAGGCATTTCTGGGGTTATCCATACACACTTGCATGAATGAGAGAAACATATATCAGAGTTGAAATTGAGGCCAGGTGGTGTGTAGTGTGTTGCTCTGTGGGTTCTCGGCTTCACCTCAGAAAAAAATTTCAGAGCAAATCCAAAGTATGGTTTAAGAAAGGATTTTTTAGGAGGAAAAGGGAACACACAAGGAAAACCACAGATGCCTTAAGTGAAAGGACACATGCTTACCTTTGACAAGAAATTTTATAAACTTTTATAACAATGATTAAGCAAGCCATGAGCTGAGAATGGAGGACTGCAGGTATCAGGTCACGAGTTTTGGTGACCATCTCTCTCAACCTTTCAGTCACAAGGACCTTCTAAATAATGAAAGTAGATTTGGATTTTTCTTAGAACATCATGTCTACATGTTTGGGGCAATTCCCTATTGTTTCTATGATTTACCACCCTGGTAGTTCCCCATTCCAACCCACAAAGTGGTCAGGTCTGGTATGCCTGGGCTGCTGGGTGAAGGTCATGTATAGATAAAAAAGATGTCTGGTTGCTAACCCCATCTAAATTTAGACCTGTCTAAGGAAACCTGCCTAACTACCTCCAAGCTATGTTAACTGTGTCTGTCTCAAAATGGTTTCAGTTGGCATGTTTTTTATTTTTTTATTTTTGAATCGGTTTGTGGTCTGTATTATCTTGACTTTTTTGATTTGACTTGTTTTCTGGCTTACTGGAAGCCGAGGGACAGAGCACAGGTTGCCTTTTGCTCTCTTCACCAGCCACCTGGAAGCAAGAGCTGAAATGTGTGGACGGCAGCTTTGCCCACCTACAGACTCATTCCCAGGTCCCCTGTACTCTGCTATTGGACTAGGGCAGCAGGAAATGCTTTCCTAATCAGCAAGGGCTATTGTTTTGTTCCTCAGGAGAGCAGACAGGTCCCAAGATATCCAGAGACTGAGTTCACCTCAGATGCTTACTTGACTCTTATCCTGGCCTCCGGAATTTTAGTCAGCAAATTTCAGCTGGAACCTGGATAAGAGTGACTTGTCTAACAAGATTTGTAGTACTTCCTCCCTTTCTTTAGGTCAAAAATATCATGCATTAGGAAAAGAAAAATCTGAACGGGAATTAAAAGATAAAAGAGAGGAAAGATATCCTCCTTTTTTGGGAGAAAGATACTCATGACATTGGGTATTCATTGAGATATATCGGGAAAGATCTAGAAAATAATGGTGTGAGTAAGTGATTGTGGCCTACTCTATTTTAGATAATATGGCATTTAAATGAAAGAAACAACCCACAAATAGTTACGCTATTTTTTTTTCTTTTTTAAGAGAGAAGGGGTCTCATTCTGCAGCCCAGGCTGAAGTGCAGTGGTGTGATCGTAGTTCACTGCAGCCTTGAAGCCTGGGCTCAAGCAGTCCTCCCACCTCAGTTTCCCAAGGTTGGGATTATAGGTACACAACACCATGCCTAGCTAAATCATTTACTTAAAAAATATTTTGGTAGAGATGGGATCTTGCTATGTTGCCCAGACTGGTCTTGAACTCCTGGGCACAAGCAGTCCTCCTGCCTCAGCCTCCCAAAGTACTGGGATGATAGGCATTATAAAAATAAGATTTTTTTTTTAAATTAGAAATTTTGCTTAATGCCTCATGTTCAGAAAATAACTGAACTGGAGTTCAGCCCTTCTTCCATTTTGTCCTGTCCCTGCCTCACAAAATGAGCAGGGATCTGGTGGTCCCCACAGCACTGACAGGAACCCTTAATTGAGACGTTGGCATCCCTGGTGCTTCAGTCAATGTTTTCCAACTGGCAGTCTTACTTCGTATTATCTGCCAGGGAAATGTTTCTGTCCAGTGCCTATCTGCACACTACCCGAAGCCGATTCATCATCTTCACTTCTGTTTCGACCCTGCACGATGTGAGGACACCCTACTGGCTCCTCAATTCCTGAATCAGACGTGTGACTCCATATGTGCAGGACTGGGATTTACAGAACTGAAATAAGGTGTAGGAAGTGAAAGTTGGCTGGTTTCCCTGATTGTTTTTGCCAGTTTCCTTTGGTACTGCCTGGAAAACAAATTGGACCTCAATACAGAACAGAAAAAAAAAAAAAAGACCAGTGTAATATCGAACTTTCGCACATCTTCTGTCATAACTAAGTTCACATGTAGGTATGTAACCATTTAGAGAATGTATGTAGAAAAGTTAAAAGTTTAGTATGTGGAATTGGTGCCTTGATTGGCAATACTAAAAAATTTCGGTCTGTTTTATAAAATTACAAAAGCACATTAGAGAAAAAAAAAAGTGTGGGAATTGCTCAATTGTTTCAAGGGGTATATTTAATACAAAGTTTGAATTTTGTTTCTAAATCACATCTTTTGCTAACCCTAATTCAACATGGAGTTATTAATAATAATAACAGCAACAATAACTTACATTTTTTGATCACATACTATATGTCAGGCCCTGTTTTTAAAAGAACTAATTAATTTAACTCTTCTAGAAAAGCTTAGCTAGAGCTGGTGAGGAATGTCAAAGCATGGATAATTCCCTTAAAGAGCCATCATCAGATCTCATCATGCCAAATATTGTGATTGAATTGAGGAAGCTCAAACAAAATCTACTTTAGTTCCTCTTTAATCGGTGAATGGTTTGCAACATTGAAAATGTAAATACATTTTTTTCTTAACTGAAAAGTTTTGTTTTTAAATCCTAGGGTAATCCTAATAAAATGCGGATTCCTGAGCCCTGCAGCTACTAATCTGGATCTCCAGGGTCTGGCCTGGGCCCTTTTGACTTTAACAAACTTCCCAGTCTAGTAGTTCAAATATGAGGCAGAATATCTAAGTAATCGCTTTCATTTTGGACATAGCTATAGTTAGCATTTTTGAAATGCTACTTTAAGGATCATTTTTTTTTCTAGAATACCTCTCTGAAAGTATAGAGATAATTATTATTCAAACTAGTACAACTTTTAAAAATTTGTGAAAAAATTCAATGTTTAATAGTGTTTCATAGTGTAATTATTAATATAAAGAATCATCTATGATACTGATTACAGATTACTTCTAAGGCACATTCTGGTAGACAGTTGTCTCTCCTCTGGACAGTTTATAAGCTCTATTTGCATGGATGCAGTAGGGCAACATTTCTTGGTTTTTTTAAATTTATTCTAAAAAGACATAATAATGATGATATCGTACTCAAAGTAATTTTAATTCCTACAACTACATGTAAAGTAATTAATAATAATTTATAAGAAAATAATTGCGTCTTTGCCTGGTGCTGAACAAATTCATGGCAATGCGCAGATCCCATGATCTCTAAGACACGCTTATAGAATTGTGAAGCAATAACTGTGAGGTATGATTTTTGGCACTAAGTCGCTGTGCCCCCTCATTCATTTGAAATAGGTGACACGAGTGTGTGTGTATATAAGCTAATAAAATATTGGGGAAAATTTTAGCAACTTTGAGCTGGTTCTGTCGGTTACGTCAGAACAACAGCATCTGAGCTTTCGTGTCGTAGGAATCTGGGTTCAAATTTCAGCTCTGCCGTGTCACTTGAATCCTCAGTTTTCTCATTTACAAAACAGAGATGATAATATTTAATTCATAGTTTGTGAAGACCAACCAGTACTCTGAATTTAGTAAGTGCTTAATAAGCAATACCTCTTAGCACTGAAAAGATTTGATTGGGAAATATAGCCCATAAATAACAGTCAACATAAATGGGTCCATGTATGTTTACCGGTATGTACACATACTTGAGGTGGGTAGTTATCAAAACCAAAGGATAGTTTTCTTCTTAATTAATTTAGAGAATTTAGAAAGAACAGAGAATTCTTATCTACAGTTTTAAAAAACTGAGTGTTTCACACAGGAGTGTTGAGGTCTGGTTCTTCTGGTTTGTTTGTTTTCTAACATCCACGTTAGGCCTAGTACAGAGTTAGAAACATTGTAATTATGGTTTATTAACTGCCTAAATAAAATGTTGTTCATGCTAGCATAAACATTTAGTATTTAATACTTAATTATCATTTTCATGAAGATGAAAAATTGGCTTTAAAAAAATCATAAAATAAAATTCTTAGAATAAGTTCTGAAGTAAGAGGTTGTGTAATATCCAAACAAGAAGCATGCATACAATCCTTGAGAAAGTTTATAGCAGTCAACATGTGGATGGGGTCTGAAGCCTGGTAAACTCTGGTTTGGAAACTTAAGAATCTTACTCGCTTATCTGTGCTCTCTCAGCCTCAGTTTCTTCACCTGTCAATGAAGGTAACAGTTTTATTTATAGTTTTATTTTATTTTTGAATTGTATTTATTTTTAGTTTTAGATTGTTAGGAGAATCAAAGGAGACACGTTAGGCATGATCTGTGCTACTTCCTTCGATTACATTTTGCTTCAAGCGCTTAATTCTGAATTTAGTTTCGCTGTCATTTATGGATGCCAGCTCTGTTTTTGTTTCTGCCTTTTGTCTTATAGGATTAACCAGTTCCTTGACTTCAGGACTCTGGATTGGACTGAACAGTCTGAGCTTCAATAGTGGTTGGCAGTGGACTGGCAGCAGTCCATTCCGATACTTGAACTGGTTACCAGGTAGGGCTAAGCCTGTGTGTGATCCAATTAACCCAAATGTAATTCATCTGGTACCGTGAAGACCTTTATTATTTTATTGGCAACTCTCAAATAAAATAATTGGGAGACTTCATCAAACACAGTTCATTTCTTATCTTGCTTTAAAAACCCACCAACTAGATTTGATTACATGAAAACTGTAAGGTTAGAGTAGCTAGCTTCCTGAGATAAGGATTTGTCTTCCGGGATTATCACACAAGTCAATATAGGTCTTTATTTAAGTATAAATTCTCTTGATTTGCTAGGTATTATATTCAAAAGCAAATTTTGAAGCTATTCTTAAACATATTTTACTAAATATACTAACAGTGTTGTTATTGTATGCTTAATGTTCACCTTCTTTGAAAGGATTATCTGACATCTATTTGTAAAGTTTGACAAGGTGCTTTCAACTTTTTGTATGACTGACCCTTGACTCTTTGTCACAGTTTTTTTTGTTTTGTTTTGTTTTTTTGAGTTGGAGTCTCACTCTGTCGCCCAGACTGGAATGCAGTGGCCGCTCCCGGCCACCACAGCCTCGCCTGCTGGACTCCTACGATCCTTCCACCTCAGCCTTTCAGTAGCTGGAACTACAGGCGCGCGCTACCACGCTTGGCTAATTTTTTTGATTTATTGTAGAGATGAGGTCTTGCCAAGTTGCCTGGGTGGGTCTCGAACCCGCGGGCTCAGGCTATCCACTCACCTCAGCCTCCCAAAGCGCGAGATTACAGGCTGAGCCACCAAGCCCGGCTCTGTCATAGTTTTTTGAATTTTGTAATCTTCTAGTTAAAAGTGCTAATATATAGAATGAATATTTATAATATTCTAAAAATGCTATATACACTTTTAAAGAATTTTAAACATATATTTACAACTACATACATACACATTATGAATTTAAGTGAACTGAAATTATTTGGGGTTGAAGAATTTTTCACGACAGTGTTTTGAGTAGTGAGATGTTTACAATATTGCTGTCACTATGATAGTGATTTTAAGGTCCACTTTAACACCATTTGTTCTTGTTTTTCATCTAATAGAGTTGGATAAAAAATACTATCTCAGTCACAGATTATGATATTCCATATTAGCACACAATTCAATAGTATTTTTCTTGGTCCATTTGTAGTTTGTAGAAAAATGGGGTCAAGGATAATAAAAACTTTAAAAGCTTTCTAATTTTTTGGAGAGCAAAAAATACTGTGAACTAATTATTTCTATGTTTTCCTAACATACAAATAATAGAGTTTAAAAGGAGAATATTTATTAAGTGCAAGTTTACCTATAAAGCAACTATTCAGAGAAAACAAAAGACCAATGATGAAAATGTTTCATCTTATTCACCAATACCAACTGGTGTTGGTAGCTGCCTGAGTCATATTTGGGATGGTCCCAACCCCACTCTCCTACCCACCCTAGGGCCAATCTCGTGTTTTTAGGAAAGAGTGTAATGAATGATGAATGAATGATGTCTGTCGTAGGTTTGGGAAAGGAGAGTAGTAACATGTTGGTTCTTTTTTTATTTGTTCTACTATGGGTAATACTGATATGATGTTCTTTCATACAGACTTTTTTCCTTTCTTTCTTTTGAGATGGGTTCTCACTCAACAACCTAATCCATTAGTAGTCTTTAATTAATAGGTAATGGAGTGCAGTGGTGCAATCATAGCTCATTGCAGACTCAAAACTCCTGGGCTCAAGTGATCCTTCTGCTTTTAAGCAGCTAGGACTACAGGTACGCACTACCACGTCCAACTAATTTGTGTGTGTGTGTGTGTGTGTGTGTGTGTGTGTAGAAACAGAGTCTCACTGTGTTGCCCAGGCAACTAACTCCTGCCCTCAGTGATCCTCCTGTCTTGGCCTCCCAAAACTGTAGGATTACCGGCATGAGCCATTGTGTCCAGCAATCAGACTTCTTTTTTAAAGCCACGAAATGGTTTTTGCATTTGACTTAGAAAATTAAACTCTTCATGTTCTATATTGACTTACTATATTTTAAAAAATCTTGATAAACTAATATTCCACATAGATGCTACAACATGAGAGAGAATTTTTAGAGGAATATTTTGGTTTAAATAGATTAGGTTGTTCTTTGAAATTCCATTTTCAATGCATACCTTCAATGAGAAATTGATGGAGGTTTAGCTGCTAAAATGGTTAGCAGGGCTGTTCCTGGAGTCTTGCATAACAATCAGCTCTATATTCTTCTGGAATACAGGAAATAAATACTACTGCAGGGGAATATAAAATATGGTTTTCTTGTGGGTGAAGATTTAATTTGTCTGCCTATCCATTTAATCAAATTCAATTGGAAAATACCAGTTGGGCTCAATCAGATTATTAGACAATTATAATAATTTATTATAGGACTAGAACTTATTCTTTTCTTTTTTGCTAAATTATTGGGCATTTTATTTATTATTCAATCTTAGGGTGCTGGTTATACTATTTAACCACTTGCATTCTACAAGTTCAGTGAGAAAATTTGGGGGTTAATTTTGAATGAAGATAAAGAATGGAAGAGGAATATGATTGGGAAAGAAAAAGAAATACTCTTTTTTATTAAACAAATTCCTGAGAAATAGATGCAAGATTAAATTACCTTCTGAAGTAGCGTGAGAATTTCTTCAAACTAAAATTAGAAAGAGGTTTTATATAAGTTGTTCAGTCAAACATTCAATTGAGTAACTACCAAGTAAGGCATCTGTTAAAATATATTCACTTTTGAAGTGAGGATATTTTACATAAATGATATACAAGTATGAATACAAATGTATAATACCTATTAATTAAAGACTACTAATTGATGTCTTAAATTGATAGAGGTGTTGATAAATACGTCAGTTACTAATTTATACATTAACTAATTACTAATAGGTATAAAATGTATTACTGTTTCTTTTTATCTTGTTTAATTTATTTTTAAAAATTTATTTTATTTTAAAGATGTGGGGTACAATTCAGGATTAGGTATACAAGTTATTGTGCAGGTAAAGTTTAGGCCTCCCTTTGGTCCCCACTTTGCCTGGCTTGAAATCAGGTACCCTTATTAATGTTATGTGCTCTACCCGCCCCTCCTGGCAGTTTCCAGCTATTGCCAATCCCTTTCTTATAGTATTATGGTAAATGTATTATTGTTTTTTAAAAGCTTTTTAGTAATACTGATACCTTATCTGTTAGTTCAGCTATCCTGTTATACTGTTAGTATACTGTTAGTTACAGTATCAACAAATTTTAAAAATATGCTCATGCTTACTACTAACAATTTTTTTCTTTGTGTGGTATTTAAATAACCTTCAGATTTTTCTGATGAAGACTTTATGGAACAGGTAATATGATTTCCATCTTGTAGGAAAGGAAAGTAGAGTTTGGGCCCAGACTATATACATGCCCAAGGTCACAAAGCAGGGTTATAACAGAAAGTGACTCTTTCAACCTGCCTTCACGTAGGTAATGGAGTCAGCTTTTGAAGCACTGATTTTAAAATCATACGGTATCAGAAAAGCATGGGAAATGTGGATATCAATGTCCATATCCATTGTATCAGCAATGTTGACTCTATCTCATTCTTTAATCCGTTTCCAGTAAGAAATGGATGAAGGGTTGCCTGCTAAATGAATTCTCCTCTAGGCTGAATCGAAGATCTTGCTTTCATTCTGGAAGCAGGGCATGTTGGCCTTCCAGCTCTCCCTTCCAGTGGCTTTCTCTGCGTCCACCATCTTTCTCTCCTGTCTCTTCTCTAGTTGGAGAAGGTTTTCCTGTGTTCACAGATTCTCTAGCCTGGTCCTCACAGTTAACTTTGACTTTGTTTTTTTGGGTGGATATTTAATAATGTTTAATATGGCTGATTGGCAGCATCATGCATTCTTTTTGTTAGGTACAAATGATATATATGATACATAGTACATCTATATGATATGTAATATAACCCAGTCATGACAATTGTTCGAATTTTAAGGTGTAGCTTTATTAGTTGATAGTGGGTGGAGAAAATATGTTGAAGAGGTATACTTGTATAGTCAACGTTTTAGGTATTGAAATGATCCAACAATAAGAAAGCAAATAGATACCCGTCATGTCTTTTGCTCTGCAGTCAGTAGATATTTATTTGTGAATGTGTAGCAAAAGACAGAATGGGAATCCATTAAATCCCAAGGATGAAGATGTGAAACTGGGGGGCTATCCACTTGGAATACCTATAGTGGTCCCGTTTTAACTTTTCCTTTTCCTCAAAGGAAGTCCATCAGCAGAACCTGGAAAAAGCTGTGTGTCACTCAATCCTGGGAAAAATGCGAAATGGGAAAACCTGGAATGTGTTCAGAAACTAGGCTATATTTGTAAAAAGGGCAACACCACTTTGAACCCTTTTGTTATTCCCTCAGGTAAGTAATCTATGTGATCCAAAGTGTGTAGTTTGTTAGATTGGAAAGATAAATGTCATTACAGCTTAGTTGTGACGGTGTGAAGTGATTCTGTAGGTTTTGTTGATAAGTTGTATGGTAAACTTAATGATATTCCTACAATATCTAGTTTTGTTGGTTGCTAACATTTTCTGAGTGTGCTTTATGATATTCTTACAATATCTAGTTTTGTTGGTTGCTAACATTTTCTGAGTGTGCTTTCGTGATTAGGCATTGTGTAAAACCTTTGACACGAATAAGAATTTGTTCTTATCTTCACAGCAGCCCTATGAGGTAGGTATTATGATTTACATGTTATAGATAAGGAAAAGATATTCAGAGGATATATAAAACTTTCACATTGCACAAAACTGGAATCCAAGCTGGGAAACAAAAATTGGGTTTTTTTTGTTTCTTATTTTTTGAGTCGAGATCTCATACTCTGTCATCTAGGCTGACGTGCAGTGGCACGATCATGGTTCACCACAGGCTTGACCTCCTGGGTTCAGGCGATCCTCTCTCCTCAGCCTCTGAGTAGGTGGGACTACAGGTGTGCACCACTATGTCCAGCTGCTTTTTTAAAAAATTTTTTGCAGACATGAGGTCTTGCTGCATTGCTCAGGCTGATCTCAAGCTCCTGGCCTCAAGCAATCCTCCCTCCTTGGCCTCCCATAGTGCTGAAATTATAGCCATGAGTCACTGTGCCCTACGTTATCTATAAACACGTAAACCAGAGCTTGGAAGAGCACATCTGAAATCAAATTATGCAGCATACATGATAGACAACCCCTTGGGCAAGAATTCAACCTCATGCCCTCATATCCTGGTCTGGAGCTGTACTGTCTGACTCAGTAGTGGCTAACCACATGTGACCATGGAGCCATGACATGTGGCTAGAGGAACCAATAAGGAAATCCCCTTCATTTCACTTGTGTTGGTCATTTTCACACTTTCAAATATCTTTAAAGTTCATCTGTTTGGTTTTTGAAACACTCAGCATTGGCTTACATTATTATTTTCAGTCTGCTAGGCAGCAAAATTAAAATCACCCACCAGAGGGCTCTGGAACTATACTGTCATTTCTCTTTCTTTTTTCTTTTTGTAGCCACTGGAAGTGTATAGAACCTGAAATGTATTGAGGGAATATACTTTTTAAAAATATATACATTTTTTCTATTACAAGAATACAGTGTTTGGGCATCATGGCTGACTACTTACTTGAATGACCACTGTCATTCAATGACAACTCAGCCAATGCTGAGTGCTTCAAAAACTTCAAGGACAGTTTGTGGGCACATTACTTTCTAGAAAGTGGCCTTAAACAAAGGTGTTTCAGATACTCTCTGCCTTTAAGGGAAAATGGGACCAATTCATTAAAAGAATAACAAAGAAAGGTCCCCTATATTGAACATTTACCAGGGCAGTCATTTGAGAATATTTAATATAAATCTTAAATAAATCCATAAATTTACTTTCATTTATTAATATAGTCCCTCTCTAAGCAAGTCATGTTGCCAAAGTGCTATTTGAAATAGTATTCATACAATAGTAATAGTAAGCTGCTGTATATCAAATATATGTCAGTTCTTTTTCTTGACACTCTCGGTACACATACACATGACAGGCCCTGTGCCAGGTTCAAGGGCATATAGAGATGAATAAGGTGAGTTTCTGCCTTCAAACATCTTCACCATCTCTTTCCCCAGTTCATTACTGCTAAAGCAAATTTTTGTAGTGTATAATGAAGAATTATGGGCCAGGCACAGTGGATCATGCCTGTAATCCCAAAACTTTGAGAGGCTGAGGCAAGAGGATTGCTTGAACCCAGAAGCACGAGACCAACCTGTGCAATGTAGCAGGACCTTGTCTCTACAAAAATAAAAAAAAATTGACTGGGCATGGTGGTGCCTGTAGTCCCAGCATCTCGGGAGGCTAAGGCAGAAGGATTACCTGAACCCAGGAGGTCAGGGCTGTGGTGAGCTGTGATCATGCCATTTCACTCCAGCCTGGAAAAACAAGTGAGATCTTAACTCAAAAAACCAAAAGATTATGCAACTTGACCCTAATTATTAGTAGCAACAAAGAGGATGCTGACCACTGACTTGATTAAATAATAATTTCATGTTGTTTGTAATTTACAAGGACACTATCTGTATTGTTTAGTAGTTCAGAAGAACACAGGTTGGGTAGCTTAATATTAGTATTAGTGTTATCAAAATTGTTTGCATGTATGGATACTTTGGTTCATGTGATATGACTTCCCAAAGATCATACAACGTGTGGCAAATTCAGGTTTTACCTGAAAGACGTCTAAATCAGAATCCCTCTCCTAGCCACAAGAGCACATGTCAGTTTTAGGGGGTGAGTAAGTAGTAGTGGATCTGTTCTGAGACACAGGTGACTGGCTCATGTGGCTGTAGTGGTGGAGGCTCCCTGGGGCCGCTACTCCCTGTTTCCACACTGTCTGTCTCATGCCTGCCCTCTGAGAATGACCTTCCTTTGAAGAATGACTGACTCTCTATTGTCCATTGAATAAAGGTACACTGCAATCTTTTAGGGAATGTCTTATGTATCAAACCTTCCAGGAGTTCAGCATTGAAACAGTTCATAACAGACGCTTAATATAGGTTTGCTAGAAAAAAGTAGATAAAATTAGATCATCTATTGTATCTTAGTGTAGTCTTGTTGTAGGTATTTTTTTAAGGAGATTTTCTGTGTTACTTTGCTTTAAAGTAAAAACTGGGTTCTTGTGCTCTTATTTATTTATCTATTTATTTATTTTTGTGTTGGAATCCCACTCTATTTCCCAGGCTGGAGTGCAGTGGCATGGTCATGGCTAACTACAGCCTCGACCTTCTGAGCTCAGGTGATCCTTAAACTTCTGTCTCTCAAGTATCTGCGACTACAGGAGTATGCCACCATGCCCAGCTATTTTTTTTGAAATTTATTTTTGCAGAGATCAGGTCTCACAATGCTGCCCAGGTTGGTCTCAAACTTCTGGGTCCAAGCAGTCACCCACTTTGGCCTCCCAAAATGCTGGGATTACAGGTGTGAGCCACCGTGCTTGGCCACTTTTGCTTATTTAGTTCTAAAAACAAAATAAAATGTCTCGTCTACCTTTTATGACTATATCTAGCAAATAATGAAATATAAGTATTACCTTTTTTTGCCTAATAACCTGAACTGTTTCATATATATAGAATGATCAAAAAATATTGTTACAATTTTAAACAAATCTTCTCTTTTAAATGCTTCCGACCCTCTTTTTTTTTTTCTAGAAAGTGAAGTACCTACAAACTGTCCTAGTCAGTGGTGGCCCTATGCAGGTCACTGTTACAAAATTCACAGAGAGGAGAAGAAAATCCAGAGAGATGCCAAGGTTGCATGTAGAAAGGAGGGTGGCGACTTAGCAAGTATCCACACCATCGAGGAATTCGATTTTATCATCTCGCAGCTAGGATATGGTGAGAAACTTTACACTTGATTCTAATACCTGGCCCTAAGTCTCTCCCCTCTCCACCCATCTTTGAAAAATTTAATCCTAAATATCAAATGTAATACGGTTAAGTTAATTTAATGAACAATTTAATAAATTTAATAACATGCTCATCAATGCCTACGATGTGAAAATTGCATAGTAATTTAAAGAAAGCTTATCACTAAAAGATAATTGAATTTATTTTTCTTTACTATGTAATCCATTTATGTATTTTTTTTCCTTATTTATTTATTTATTTTAAAGAGGTAGGGTACAATTCAGGATTAGGTATACAAGTGGTCATCATGCAGGTAAAGTTTGGGCCTCTCTTTGGTCCCCACTTTGCCTGGTTTGAGGTCAGGTATCCTTATTGATGTTGTGTTTCACCCCCCAACTCCACAGCCTCCTGCTACTGCCAATCCCTTTCTTACAGTATTATGGTAAATGTTCAGGGTTTGATTATGAGTGAGAACATGTGGTACTCTGTTCTTTGTTTCTGTGAAAGATCACTGAGGAAGATAGACTCTAAATCCATCCAAGTTGCTGTGAAGTCCATATGTTTGTCCTTCTTTATGGCTGCATAATATCCCATTGTGTATATGTACCACTTTTTTTTTTTATCCAGTCCAGTTTCGATGGGCAGCATGGTTGGCCATGGTTGGTTTTTAAATATAATTTTCCATCTATTATTTGGATTCAGAGCAATCTACCTCAAACTTGTCAACAATGTCTAATTCCTTGGAATTACTTGTGTATATGTGCGTATTTTTTTTATTGGGGGTCCCATAGCTTATCTTTAAGTGAACCATCTCACTTTGGCTTTTCTTTCCTCTATGAATTTAGCCAATGCTGCTAGGGTGTTGAGCAGTGAAAGAAATGGGATTTTTTTCTTTTAAGTGATTAGTGTTGGCCTAAACCTTTTTAAAAAATCCATGTCGGCCTGGTGCGGTGGCCCAAGTCTATAATCCCAGCACTTTGGGAGGCCAAGGTGACAGGATTGCCTGAGCTCACGAATTTGAGACCAGCCTGAACAACTTGGTGAGACCTCATCTCTACAATCAATCAAAAAATTGGTGAGACCTCACCTCTACAATAAATCAAAAAATTGGCATGGTAGCATATGCCTGTAGTTCCAGCTACTTGGAAGGCTGAGGCGGAAGGATCACCTGAGCCCAGCAGGTCGAGGCTGCAGTGGTTGTGAGCGTGCCACTGCACTCCAACCTGGGCGACAGCGTGAGACTCCAACTGGAAAAAAAAAATCTGTGTCTCCATTTTAGGTGTATAATTTTGAAAATACATAGAAAATGTACTCATTGGGGGGAAAAAAAAAAGATGGGTCAAAGGAGCTGGGAATACTTGTCCTGAAGAAGAGTGGGTTGAGAAACGACATAATGATTATGGGCACTCAGCAGTACTTGTTGATTAAATGATTACCATTTTCATCTGCCACTGATGAGGCCGCTGAATAGCTGCAGCTGTTCTTCATTTCCCCCCAGCAAAACAAGAGGAAATGGATGGTGGTGTTGGTGGAAACAGCTTCCTGACACATATTGCCTGGAAATTGACGGGGGTGGAGGGGGGAGGAGAGGAAAAAGCAATGAACAAATAGATGAGAAAAGAAGAGTGTAGTAGCTGAGGAAGAGGTAGAAGACCCTAGAACACTCCTGCTCTTGGAACCTGCTAACTGGAATCCATTCTCTCATTGAGTGTGTTAGACCACGAGACGAGCCAGCGGCAGCCTATTGACAGTTTCTTGACTATTCTATGTCTACCGGACCTGGAAAATTCAGATTAAAATCCAATAATGGAGTCAAAACTGATACATCTGAATAACAGTTACTTAAATTTATCATGACACTTAAAATAGCTAGTAAAGTTTGGAAACGAATTAACATAAAACAGATTAGTTATGATGCTGTAGAACCAAAGGGCACATTTTGCTCTATTCTCTATAACATGGTACAGGAGTAGAAGAAACTAATTATTATTATTATTATTATTATTTTTGAGTTGGAGTCTCACTCCATTGCCCAGGCTGGAGAGCTGTGGCACACTCACGGCCCCCCCAGCATCGAACTGCTCGGCTCTAGCCTTCCAAGTAGCTGGAACTACAGGCACGTGCTACCACGCCAGGCTAATTTTTTGATTTTATTTTTATTGTAGAGTTGAGTTCTCATCATGTTGCCCAGGCTGATTTTGAACTCATGGACACAGGCGATCCACTTGTCTTGGCCTTCCAAAGTGCTGGGATTACAGGCTGAGCCACTGTGCCCAGCCTGAAACTGATATTTTAATTGCTATCATTGTTTTGGGAAGTTGGATGAACAAGCTTAGTCTTAAATTCACCTGAGAATTAGTAAATCTTCTGTTTAAAAAATTATTGATAAGGATTTATTTATTTGAAACAAAATAATAAAGGTAAAACCTGTACAATTAAAATGATTGCTTCTGAAACAAAAGCCTCGAAAAAACTTCTTCAGTTAGTTGAGATGTTATCTTTCATATTAATCACGGAAATGTGTTTCAAGTGGATACACTGAGACCTGTATGGCTATACCAACTCCTACAACCACCCAACTGATAGATAAAAATCCATCTAACACCTTTTGTAGAATCAAGATTGTGCTTAGAAATTGCAAAAGCTATATAGGAAGAGGACAGTTTAGTGAGAAAAATACATATAGGGAAACTCTTAATACTTTGTTATAATTGTGGGGGTTGGGAGGTTTTTTTTGTTTTTGTTTTTGTTTTTGTTTTGTCAGTCTTCAACTGAAATCCTTGAGGGGTCCATGAGGACACTTTGTAGCCTATGTTTGTTGCTCAAAAGATCTTGATTTGCTAAATCAAGTGAAAGGAAAAAGGGATCATCTTGGCAATGTCATTTATCCTCCACAGCACTGGAAACATCTGCTGGGCTTGGCACGAGGCCAGTCAAGATACTTCTCCAAAAGCAAAGTTGAATGACAACTTTTAGGAGGAAGAGACTAAACTACTTAGGGAAATTCTTATGTGGTGTGGTGTTTTCTCTCATTTTCTATCACCACATCATCTTTACAATCCTTTGGCGAGGAATTTTGCTTTGCCACTAAAAGATCATACATCAAGCACTCATATTGAAATTCCCAGTCATGCAAATTAAGCCAATAGTGAATTGTGCGTTCTTTAATGTTTTTATTTAGTCATGTTTATTTTTCAGCCATAAAATTTTAGACTTTCAATCACTTCAACTTTGTCTCACTTTTGTTGTGATATTTAGAGTTTTTTAGAATGATAACTACTTATAAAATCAGTAATGTTTTACATAAAATTTCAAAACAGAATGATCACATTTTAAATCTGTATTGGTTGCTTTGGTTTTAACCTTATTTGTTACTTAAGTTTTGTTGTCATTTCACAGCATTTCATGGTAATGACGACTGCAGATGCATTTGTATTTATAGGCAAATAAATAAGTATCAAATGACAGGAGACTGTCTTACTCCTCAGCTTGTATTTCTTTCAACATATAGAACATTTTCACTATCAATACAGCAATTGATCTTCAACAGAAACACCTAGAATGTTCTTGATAACAACAGCCGGAAAAATAGAAGAGGTTTAACATTTTTATTTTAAAATGTTCATGAGATTTAATAGTAAGCAAATAAATGTATAGAATCAGTTTACCATATTTCCAACAATATGGGTGCAGTTGGCATGGTGAATTATTTGTAACAAAAAATAGAGGGTAATAATGAACCTACCTCAATTTTATTTTTGTAACTCCTAGGAGACAGAATTTTAATCGTGCAACTAAAGAATGCAATCACACCCACAATGTAGAGTATGCTAAACAATTTAAAACTGATGACATGAATGTAGTTGACATCTAAGTCTACAGCATGTAGATCAGATTTATATTCAAGAAGATTATCTGCCATGATAGTGATACTATCAAGGAAGTAGAGCCATGTTGATAAAGAATAGTACCTTGCTTTTCTGACACCCTCCTGACCTTCATTCAGAAAGCAACCTTTGTATATACTACTTCTGTGTTTTTCTTCCCATTTAGAGCCAAACGATGAGTTGTGGATTGGCTTAAATGACATCAAGATTCAAATGTACTTTGAGTGGAGTGATGGGACCCCTGTGACCTTTACCAAATGGCTTCGTGGAGAACCAAGCCACGAAAACAACAGGCAGGAGGACTGTGTTACCATGAAAGGAAAGGTGAAGCCATTGTAATGACTGATATTTAGTAAAAGTCACACAAGGTTTTTTCCTTTTGTCCCACCTAATTGCATGTTTGTTTAGATTGTTTTTAACTCAGGTCAATTGACACGGATCAAAGGCGAACCAAAATTCCGATTATTTTCTTAAGTCTCTCTCCACTAGAAAAAATCACTTTGACTTTGCAAAAGCCTAAACACAGTAGAGAGGTTTTTGAGGGAGCTGGGGGCAGGGAAGAGAGGAAAGAGAACCGAGACCTGCCGAGAATGGTGGCAGCTGGAGAAGGCATCTATGAGTCTTGGAGCAGTGGGAGCCTGACGATGCCCCAGTCAATTGTGCAGCAAAGTCAAATTTTGAGGAGAACCACAAAGGCAATGGACAGAGATTTTTGGCTCAAAGATGAAATTGACTGAGAACTAATACTCTTATTGTTCTTATGCTGGGTTCTCAATGATACTGCACATAAGTGTGCACGTGCACACACCTCCCACCCGCCCACCCCCCCCCCCCACAGATTTAGATACATGGCTTTAATGATCAAATGAGATCTGTTGTTCTACCTTCATCTGGTTGCTCCGAGTTGGTGCAGATCTAGTGAGAACTATTCTGGGTTCCACAGCTTGGAAACTCTACATTTATATCTTTTTTCTGGTTACACGGAGATGTCATATGAAATGATTGCTTCTATGTTTTAAGTGTGACCTTAGTCATTAAATAATTATCATTAAATGATCCTTTGTTAACAGATGATAAACGTGATTAAGAGGCTGGGTTTTGCAATGTAATTTATTACCTCATTTGGGGATAAGAATTGTACCCAGCTGATCTGTAGATATGAATAATAAATGGGTTAATGCATATACTATGCACAGTTTCTGGCCCACATTTATTATTCAATAAAGATTAGTTTTTTTGTCATTGTGGTTGTTTTTATTGTGATTAATCAAAAGTTTCAGAAAAGAGTAGGTGTTGACTCTCCAAAGAACAGGCAGAAGAAACCAGAGAGCATCATGCTTGGGAGGAGGCGAGAAGACAGTGTGGCTGCAAGCGTGGTGGTAGAGGCAGAATGATGGGCAGGAACATAAGCATCGAGGTTCCAGAAACATGTATCATCTCGGAGGCACAAGACCAAAGTTGCAGTTTATAAATATTACTCTAGTTGAAGGCTTGAGTACCAGATTGCAGTGGGTTGAGACCAGATGAGAGATGAGGAATTACACTCAGACAATACAGAAGACATTTTTCAAGATGTTCAGCATCTTGTTAAGGGACGAGAAGGAGAGGTAATATTAACATAAAATCTTTAAGGAGGTGGGAGTGGGTAGAATCTGAAACGAAGTGGAAGGTTGAACCTTGGATCCAGGCAAATACTCATCAATAGAAGTAGAAAGAAGGGAGAAAGGATGACTGTGGTTTCAGGTTTATTTTCAAGTTTGGTGTGTTGGTCAAGGGAGTTTTTTCTGAATGTACTTGGTTAACTTGAAGATAGGGCTGATTGTAGAGACTGCCAATAACGCTGCATGCAAACCTGTGAACAGCATGATTTAAGGACTGACAGCACTTTTAATTTTCTCTCTGAGTTTCTTAAACAACGGGCTGGATGTCTAAGACATAAAACCATACTGGGGCCACAATCTCTTTTTACATATTTGTAGCCAGTGTCAAATTTACTTTCTACATATAAAATGTCAATTTACCCTTTCTCTTAAAAGATGCCATTTTCTCTCAATAACCTTGAATCTTGGTTTTCCTTCTCTAAGGCACAGTAACAAGAAAGTAGCATCAAAGTCCATCAACTCATCATCCTTTATTTCTTTCTCTCTGTTCTCTGCAGGATGGGTACTGGGCTGATCGGACATGTGAGCAGCCTCTTGGCTACATTTGCAAGATGAAATCACAAACACAAGGTCCAGGAATAGTCGAAGTAGAAACAGGCTGCAAGAAAGTGAGTATACACCATATGCAACGACTTCAGATCAGCTAATATCTTTCGATACAGTTGACTTTATTTTTGTATGTGAAGGTGCTTTGTTATTGCTGTAGCCAAATATTTTGACTGTTCAAATCCTAAACCTTCAGTGGTTTATTGTGAGTGTTTGGTGTCACTCTTCTCCCTAAGTTTTCTTTGGGAATTCTCTACAGTTAATATGGGGGTTCATGTGTCCAGATGCTCCTTCCAGAATGTTGTGGGAATTGGAAGAAAGAACAGGCAATAAAATGACACAACGAATGGAGCCTGGTGTGGTTAAGACAAAAGCAGGTCATGGGAGAAGCAGGTAGCGGTAGTCTATGAACCTAGATTGTCTAGAGTGTTTCCAGTAGATAACTTCAAGATGCTGAGAGCGGGCGATCCGTAGTCAGTTTTTTCCATTTATAGTGTTTCTGATGAGACTTCTCCTGGTGGGGATCCTCCTTAGGACATCACTGCAATGGAGGTAGGAAATTCAGCCCCCAACTGGTACCTGTAGTAACTTCATTAAACTGAATAGGCATAAGCCTATTGTGCTTCAGCCTCATCTGTGTGACAGTAACATCTGCCTGCATGTCTTATGCTTCTTTGAGGATGAAGTAAATGGTCTTTGTAAACTAACTTGTAAAAGCGTAAAGGAACTCTGAAAATACAGGGTTGCAGTGATCATTCTCCTGTTTGGTGCTTTTCCACTTCTTTTGAGTAATATGAACTGGAGGCACATTTTCTTCCCAAGAGGGTTATGCTGTGGTCACATGATCTTATAATAAACACCAGAAGGCTGAAAATTTGATATTCTACACCTAAATAGGCCATCGAGACAAATAGAATAGATAACAGAAATTATAGTATGTTAGAGAGATGAAGGTTCTTAGCAACGACCAAAATCTGCTTCTAATTTTTACATTCTGGAAACTTCAGCCCAGAGAACCCATAGAGTTGTTTTACAACCAATGGAGGCAAGGAGAGAACCCAGGTCTCCTGTCCCTAGACCCTGGACTCTGTTTCAGTACCAGGATACTTAGATATTATTTGTCTAGTCATATACATACACAAGAGATCATATATTATTGTAATTTTCTAAAATAGTAAACAACCCTTACATTTTTATTTTATTTTATTTTTTATTTTTATTTTTATTTTTTGAGTTGGAGTCTCACTCTGTCACCCAGACTGGAGTGCAGTGGCCGCTCCCGGCCACCGCAGCCTCGACCTGCTGGGCTCCGGCGATCCTTCCGCCTCAGCCTTCCAAGTAGCCGGAATTACAGGCATGCGCTACCACGCCCGGCTGATATTTTGGTTTATTGTAGAGATGAGGTCTCGCTGCCCAGGTGAGTCTCGAACCCACGGGCTCAGGCAATCCACTCACCTCAGCCTCCCAAAGGCGCGGGATTACAGGCTGAGCCACCAGGCCCGGCTTACTTATTATTTTTATTACTGTTATAAAATTAATCTAAGTTTTATATTTTTTCTATTAATTATCACATATCTACAATGTTGAAGATAATACAATTTCATCAATAAGATGGTAATAATGAAAACAGGAAAATAACAGCAATCCCTTGTCAAATATAGTTACCATTATGTTCTAATAAATTTATGGGATAAATATTATAGTCCTGATTAGAAAGAAGGGGAAATGGAAGCACAGAGAGATTAAATAATTTGGCCAGTTTAAGAACACCTGCTCTAGGCAGCGACTTCCTCAAAGGGCTGGAAAGGCTAGAAACGAAACAAGACAAAACTTACCAGCAAAGAAAGAGAATAACAAGGCAAATGTATTGTTTGAACCTGAGCATGAGGTGGTATAGGGAGTCTCTGAGAATTCAAAACCACAGGCTTGTTGTCATACAGATGTCTGGGATTCAATTTTCTTTTATCTTTTTTAATTAGTTTTTTATTTTAAAGATGTGGAGTACACTTCAGGGTTAGGTTTTCATCATGCAGGTATCCTTGTTGATGAGGTATACAGTTTCCCACTACTGCCAATCCTGCCCTCACCCTCCCCTGGCAGTTTCCCACTACTGCCAATCCCTTTCTTATAGTATTACAATAGTTGTTCAAGATCTGCTTATGAGCAAGAACATGTGATACTCGGTTCCTTGTTTCTGTGACAGATCACTCAGTATTACAGCCTCCAAATCCAATCAAGTCGCTGCAAAGGTCATAATGTTGTCCTTCTTTATTGCTGCATAATATTCCATTGTGTATATGTATCACGTTTTTAAAATTCAGTTTTCAATGCAATGCAACCAGAATGGAAAATCCTAAACCAGGAAATTAACATAAAGTGGTGCAGAGTTGCTGATACTTCTGGATGCCTGACAGATTGAAATGTAAATCCCCAGTATAAAGAAGCTCCATTGTCCAGGCTATAGGATCCCCACAGATGAGTTGGAAACCCCAAATGATCAAATATATCACCAGGATCTTCAGAGGGAGAAATTAATAGATCTGACATGAAAATAAATGTCTTCTAAAATGCTTATGGAAAGAAAAAATGGAACTGAAACCATGGGACCAACCACCAAAATTTATGTAGTGCTTTCATTAGGATGCAATCCAAAATATTTTTGATTTCCATTAAGTTTTTTTGACCCATGAGTTATTTCAGGGCGTGTGTGTGTGTGTGTGTGTGTGTGTGTGTGTGTGTGTGTTGGTAGTGGTGGGAGTTTTGGTGGTAGAGTTTTGTTTGTTTTTTAGTTTCTAAATGTTTGATGAGGTACTATTGATTTTATTTATTTGTTTATTAATTTAGAGTCAGAATCTTACTTTGTCATCCAGGCTGAAGTGCTTGATTTATTTCTTTGGACAATATAGACTTTTTGGCTACTCATTCTTCTGAGTTAAAATTCCTTCTTTCTAGAGTAAATCTTTTGTAGCTTTTTCACTGGGAATCTAGGAGAAGAAAATTCTCTTTGCCTGAAAATATCTTAAATGTCTCCTCACCCTGAATAATAGTTTATCTAGGTAAGTGTAGAATTCTGGTTGAAAACTGTTTTCTGATAGCAATATGTGTATTATTTTATTTTCTCCGGGCTCTTATTTTTGCCACTGGAATTCCTGTTATCACACTAATTCTCTTTCTGTTTTAAAGTGGATATTCTATCACTTCCTTCTGGTTTTTGTTTTTTTGTTTTTTGAGTCGGAGGCTCACTCTGTCATCTAGGCTGGAGTGCAGTGGCACACTCACAGCCACGACAGCCTCCACCTGCTGGGCTCCGGCGATCTTTCCACCTCAGCCTTCCAAGTAGCTGGAACTACAGGTACACGCCATCACGCCTGGCTAATTTTTTTTGACTTATTGTAGAGATGAGGTCTCACCAAATTGCCCAGGCTGGTCTCGAACCCATGGGCTGTGCCTTCCAAAGTGCTGGGATTATAGGTGTGAGCCACCGCACTCAGCCCCTCTGATTGATTTTATAATCATCTCGTTGTCTTTGGCATACTGCAGGTTTACTAGTGTGTGTCTAAATTTGTAATTATTTTGTTTCCTTTGGCATTCAGTATGACTCTTAATTTTGAGGATTCATATCTATCTTTCAGTTCTTGGAAATGATTAGTTATTAATTTTATTCACCACTTCTGAAACTTCTCTTAGGTTGATTTTCAACCTTCTATTTTCTATTGTCTAGGTTTTTTGTCAGCATGTTTTTAAACCTCTTTTCTTATTTCCATCTCTTTCTATGCTGTGTTCATCCAGTTTACTAATTTTCTCTAAAACTTTGCCTACTATATTTAATATGACCATTGAATTTATAACTTATAAATTATAATATAAATATTATATTATATTATAAATATAATATTATATTTTTCTTTTTGATACATTGCCATTTTGGGTTCTAATTTTCCTGTTACTAGTACATAATATTTTGATCTCTTGTTATTGTTTATATATTTCTTATTTTGTCACTAAATCACCTCAAACATGCTTCTTTTTATAGTATTTTCTTCAGAATGTTCTACTATGTTAAATGGTTTACTCTCCCTTAAAATGGGGTCTTCTCATGTGGTTTGTAATATTTGACTGAGTATTAATGCCTATCTACATTCCCACTCTTACTCCCAAATGTCATAGTCTCACATGACCTGGTTTGTAACAATATTTCTGACGTACTTTTGCATTCTGATTCTTTGAGTGCATAAGAGAGTCCCCTTTTGTAGATCAAATATTACTTTAACTTTTTGGCTGTGGATTATCATGCAATGTGGATAGTGTAAACTTGGAACTGTCACACATCTGTAGCATAGACTCGGCATTTATTTTCAAATCAAAGAAATTTTTTCTGGTACCTAGAATCCCAGGCAAAAGATGAGACTATCATTTCTTGGTTCTGTGGGTAAAGTATTCTAGTTTCTCCTTTCACAGAGGTGTTACCCTTAAAGGTATCATCTTTGTACAAGGTTCTCGGTTCTAACTCCTTGTCTCAGGTGGGACAAAGGCCAAATATCATATTCTGAACGTGCATTAATACCACAGCTCCCTGGGCCTTAATCTAGGAGATACTATATCCCTGGGCAATAAGAATCTCAAGTTGTGCTTTCTCCATCAGCTTTTAGTGTTCTCTTCTACTTATTTTTGGTACCAGGAGATTCCACCCTTCTTCCTCTCACACTCTCATATAGGTTTTTTTTCATTTATTGTGATGTTTTCATTTAGCATTTCTGTGTATGGGAGGAGGACCACACCAAATCATGTTGCCTAAATGTAGTAAAGTACTCTCTCTTATAACCAAATAATGTAGCTTTATACTTATCTTCTGCTATTGGCTTCATAGGCAACTAGGTTTGCTATTCCCCAAATTCTTTCCTGTGGTTACCTATTCTGTAACTGAAAGCTTCACCATTCTATTCACTTTCCTCGGTGGGTGACCATTTCACTTCTCCATCAGAAATGGAGAGAATGACTGCCCCCCCATTATGTAGCATATTTTGTCATATAAAGAATAATTGTACTACTGTTCCCTCTCTATATAATTTTCATTGGGTTTCAAATTCTTCAGATTTGTGTTCTTTGGAAATTTATATTGTTTATAAATTAGTTCCATGTAGTCAGAAGAGTTATTAAAATTCTATTTTCTCATAAATATGTATGAGAATCTGCTTATTTCTTCCTTACTTGATAACCTTAATAGGGCTGGAAAAGACATGGCTTTTACTGCTATTTGATTGGACACACACTTTCAACATTTTCAGAAGCAAACCAAACCTGTGAAAATGAGAGTGCCTACTTAACAACTATTGAAGACAGGTAGGTAACTATTTGGATTTTATTTTTAAAAGATGTCAAATCATGAAAAGTTTCAGAAAAGCCCAAGTGTGAACATACTCTAAATTTCTGAGTGAATTACATATGGTCTTGAGGAATGATTTGTAAGGATAGAAGCATTAAAAATAATATCTTTACTTGGACTCTACATTGTAAACTATTTTGCTACTTTCAGTACTAGAAAGCAATATTCAGAACAGTTTACTGATAATAACTTTGTAAATGTAAATTCTAAATCTAACTTTTTTCTGATCTACTGTATGTCAACGTTTTTAAAGCAGGAAAAGTTAAAGTTGTCAGCTCCAAATCCGTTTGTATCTTTATCATCGCCTCCTACAGAAAAGAAGGCAGGGAGATTTACTGAATAATTGATTCGTTCTTTTCATTCTTTCATTCTTTGCTTTGCTTGCTAGGTTAATAGACTCATAGGTCAAGAAAATCACATGGACACAGAGGATTTTATGCAACTTTTGACCTCCAGAGTCCCATCTGTCTTTATGATTTATTTATTTACTCTTCATCTACTTTTTGCAAAGACCTGGATTAGACATAGGAGAACATTTTTAAAAACTTTAAAATATCCTATTTTATTTGCAGCAAAGAGGTAAAAAAAAAGTTGAGCTTTAAGACAATAAATTATATGTATTGGCCTTTCAAGGCAGACCCAATAAAAATGCAGGGGATACAATTGATGTGAAAAGTCCTTTGATAAAATTTGACCAGGCATGGTAGCTCATACCTGTCATCCCAGTACTTTGGGAAGCTGAGGCAGTAGAATTGCTTGAGCCCAGGATTTCAAGACCAGCCTAGGCAACATAGTAAGACCTCATCTTTACAAAAAAGAAAAAAAAAAAGAAAAAATTAGCTGTGTGTGGTGGTACATACATGCAGTCGCAGTTACTCAGGAAGCTGAGGTGGGAGGATCCTTTGAGCTCAGGAGTTTGAGGCTGCAGTAAGTCATGATCATGCAACTATACTCAGCCTGGGTGAGTGAGACACAAACTCAAAAAAAAAGAAAAGTCATTTGATAAAAAGGACAGATATATGGCTGAGCATGGTGGCTCAAGCCTGTAATCCAGCACTTTGGGAGGCTAAGGTGAGAGGATTACCTGAGCTCAGGGGTTCAAGAACAGCCTGGACAACTTGGAGAGACCTCGTCTCTACAATAAATCAAAAAATTAACTGGGGGTGGTAGCGTGCACCTGTAGTTCCAGCTACTTGGAAGGCAGAGGTGGAAGAATGGCCTGAGTCCAGTGGGTTGACACTGGGGTGACCGTGAGTGTGCCACTGCATCCTAGCCTGGCTGATGGAGTGAGACTCCAACTCAAAAAAAAAAAAAAGGACAGATATAACATTTTCATGGTCTTTATCAAAGAATTGTATATCAGCACACATCCTGCTCTCATGTATGATTAAATGTCTAGCATATCATAGCACCCTGACAGAATGCTAACACCTGAAATTCAGAACATAGGTACCTTTTATCTTACAACAAGGGAGGTAAACTGCTCATCTTTAAGTACCATGGGGACATCTTCTGGTCTGTACAATAATTGATCTTTTGGTCTGTTGGGAAACTATGTACAAAATTTCACTATAATTTATATTTGTTTTTCTTTATGTGTCTTCTATAATATTTATATTCAGAAACTCACTAACTCTATTGTTAAATTGGGTTTTTAGATGTTTAAGAAAACTAAATTGAGTTTGGAACCTTTGCTTTTTCTGACTTGTTTTGTTTAGGAAATGACATTATTCAGACTGTGGTCAAATTAATGCTCTGGTATTTTTAAGTCTCTCAACATTTCCTTCTTTTTCTCTCTGGAATCATCTGCAGTGCTCTTTGTTCCTGGAAACTTTGGGTACCATTTTTCTTTTGCTTCAAGGAGAGATTTTTGTCTGTGCTGCTGCCTACATGGTTTTACATTTGTCAGTTAAGATAAACTTTGGGTGTCTTGCCAACTAAACTGTGTTGTTACCAGATTACATCAGATATGTAGATGAGAAAGTGTTGGAATTCATGCTTCTGTTCCCCATTCTTTCTAGAGATTGAGCCTGTGTCTCCACGTTTCTTGATAATTCTCTTTTGTTTCAGAGCTATGAGAATGAAGTTGATGGGGAAGTTCATGCAGATTATTTTATTTGCATTGTCTTTGATAATGTTACTATCTCTCAATTTGCTTAGTCAAGAATTGAGTACAGCATTTGACCTATTTGAAAAGTGAACTCATTTTTTAAACAGCATATTTTAAAGTGCTATGGTTTTCTCATTTGTGTTTCCAAAATTCTCTTAAAATTTGAGCATAGTCAGAGGCTAGTGAGGATGAGAGAGAAATGGTTTGAGTATATTTGAATGATTGTATTCACTGAGATATATAGTATTTTTTCTTCATAACACACATTTTCCTAGTGAAAATGTATATAATTTAAGTGACATAGAAGTGTAATACAATATATTTGAATTAACAACAAAGTTAGAGCTCAAACATAGAACCGAGATAATTTTCATGTTGTTAATGTTTTAAATGTACATCAATGTTTCTAAAACTGTGTTGAATGATGATTTTTTATTTTCCAAGATATGAACAAGCATTCCTGACTAGTTTGATTGGATTAAGGCCTGAAAAGTATTTCTGGACAGGACTTTCAAATATACAAAACAAAGGAACCTTTCAATGGACCATCGAGGAAGAGGTTCAGTTCACCCACTGGAATTCAGATATGCCAGGTATGTATGTGCAATGCTTTCACCGAGGGCTTCACTGTTTCACTTACCCTATGAATCCATCGGACAAAGCCTGTTATTTCTCTGAGTACTTTTCCAAATCGACTATGTGGATTAATCATGCCTTTGGCAACATTTGTGTTTCATTCTTTTTGTTTATTCTTTCTTTTTCTTTTTCTTTTTTTAATTTCCCAATGAGTTTGCTGTGCTCTAAGGAAAAAAGGAAGAAAAAAAAATGCTAGGTTATTTGGTCTACTTGAAAACTACTTAAATTCTAAATGGCCACAAATGTTCCAAGTAGTTAACTTATTACCGAGAACTTTAAACTATGTTAAATGGATATAAAACTTTCAGTGCAACTACTAAATTAGTGTGCTTGTGTGGTAGAGAAAAGGGTATTGTTCATGTGGAACTCATCATTTCACTATCTTGTATGTACCACCATGATTAGTCCTTTATTTGCCTTGGGTTTTATTTTATCCTTATAAAAACTCTGCAAGGCAAGTTTAAGTATCTCCGTTTGAAAGAGATAGGAACTAGGACTCAGAAAATTTATGACTCAAAATCTTTCAATTTTGAGTTGCCTTCCCTAGTAAGATGTTGTGAATTGCTTCTAAATAGACCCTGAAAGATTCTTTCCTTCTTTATATGCTGGCATCACTGGCATATGTTATTCAGTATGATGACATGCAGAAGAGTCAACACCTTTTATAGCAATTATTTCATTGTGCTTGGGTAAAAGCTAAAAAAGAAATAATAGCTCAAGTGTATGAATTTACTGCTTGGTCTAATACATCCTAATCTTTAAGAATTATTTTAATTTGCATTCTCAGCTTTCACTAAGGAAAATGGACCAATAATCTGGATAACATGATTCTTGTTTATTAAATTATTGAACTTTCTAAAAAATAGTAAGACTTCAGGTCATTTTAAAAATATCTCGATGGTATATTAAGAACTGAGTGCAAATATTTAAAAAAAAAAATCTTGGTAGAAGTGGTAAGTCTTACTCTGTAGTTGAAACTGATTAACTTTGTCCCTATCGCTCTTTCAGAAGTAGGATTTTGAGAGGTTAATCCTGGAATGTTCTTAGGTAATAAAAATGGATCAAATTGCAGCCACAATTCACTTGGAACCATTGTTATGGTATATCCTTGTTGAAAGGATGGTGGCTCCCTCCTAAAGAAGGCTGACCTCTTTGGCTGAGTGTTCAACTGCAGGAGGAGGGGTGAGGAGCTTGGGACCCTGTCCTGAACATTGTGTCAGCTGAGCCAATTCTAGGAGTCAGCAGGATCCAGCAGCCTCTGTGGTCATCTATTCCAGAGTTACCAGGTTTCTACTCAGTACTGTGAAGGGAAGCAGACTATTATAGGCCTCAGAGGAAGTCTTGAGGGTGTCTGGAAACCAGAGATTTCAGAAAAAAATATAATGAAAAAGGTGTGTACCTCCCCAGAAATTTGAGGATGACTTCCAAGTGCTTAACTTTCTTTAAAAGAGAGTGGTAAAAACAATGACCTTGTCTTAGCAGCCAGAAATCTTGATGCTTTCCAGACTCTATCTTATTTACTATTTGGAAATAACCACAGCTGTAAAGCAGAATTAAAAATTATTAAGCTCGGTACATTCCCCTTTTTATTTCATGTACTTCTTTGTTCATTAAAGCTGGCATTCCTCACAACTCTACAAGGTGAGTCTTGATATTTGCATTTTAAGATGAGGAAGCAAGTTCAGAGTGGTTGAGTGACTTAAACTCTCTGGTTCAAGTGTGTCTCATTCTGAAGCCTATGAAGAACTTTGGTCCTGGGAGACCTACATGACTCTAGGGAAAATAGGATCTTAGCAAATTAAAAAGAAAAAGAAGGAAGAGAGAAAGAATGAAAAAGAGAGAAATTTTTTTTTTTTAAAGGAAAGAAGAAAAGAAAGAATGAAGTCCAGGAATGGTGGCTCACCTGTAATTCCAGCATTTTAGGAGGCTGAGGTGGGAAGATCGCTTAACACCAAAAGTTTGAGATCAGCCCAGGCAACAAGGCAATACCTCATCTCTACAAAAAAAATATTAAAAAAAAAAAATAAATAACTAGGCATGGTGGCATGCACCTGTGGTCTCAGCTACTTGGGAAGCTGAGGCAGAAGAATTGCCTAAGCCCAGGTGGTCAAGTCTGTAGTGAGCTGTAATTGTGCCGCTGCACCCCAGCTGGGGGACAGAGTGAGACTCCGACTAGAAAGAAAGATGGAAAGAAAGGAAAGGAAAGAAAGAGAAGGAAAGGAAAGAGGGAAGGAGGAAGGGAGGAAGGAAGGAAGAAAAAGAATGACAGAGAGAGAATGGAAGAGGGAGAGAAGGAAAGAGGGAGGGAGAAAGAGAAGGAAAAAAGAATGGAAGGAAGGAAGGAAATATTAAACCACTATTTTTGCCATTATGGTAAATTTGATCATATAAAAATATTATTATAGCATTAAATGCCTATGTGGGGCACTCTACCAGATGTTAGAAATATAAAATTACAACCTGCCCAACATTTGAGGTCATAATTCAGTTGGGGATAAAACCACACAAATAAAAGGCGAACAGTGGTTCAAAATTGCACAAGCTCATTGCCACACGCTGTAGCCGGAGTCCTCGCATGTTCTCACACACACTCCGACACACCTGACCGCACACTCCAACACTCACCTGTGAACCACCTTCCATGAGCACGGCAGGCCTCCGGGAGGCACCTGCTGAGTGAGTTCTACCTTATGTGTTCAATGCAGGGCGAAAGCCAGGGTGTGTTGCCATGAGAACTGGGATTGCAGGGGGCTTATGGGATGTTCTGAAGTGTGATGAAAAGGCAAAGTTCGTGTGCAAGCACTGGGCAGAAGGAGTCACTCGCCCGCCAGAGCCCACAACAACTCCCGAACCCAAGTGTCCGGAGGATTGGGGTATCAGCAGTAAAACCAGCTTGTGTTTCAAGGTAAGTATCAACAGCGAAGCTGGTGAAAACATTTAGAATATGCTTCTGCCCAAAGAATCACATAAAGAATGAAAAAACAAACAAAAAACCAAACTATTCTGCCCAGGCTCCACCTGCAGAAATTCTGATTTTATTGAACTGGGTTGTTTTTAAAGAGCTCCTTGGGTGGGTGTCCATGAAAGATGCATTTCGACCCACAAGTACAACCATCGACACCAACACAACTCAGAGACACAACTTTGCTACTTTCACCCCCTCTCTGTTTCTCTCCTTTTTCATCCCAGATTTCTAGGCCTCATCTGAGATCACAATTCTTTTTATCCTTGTAGAAATTTCTCTCCCTCATCATGCTATCCTATTTTTTTAATGTGTAAGGAGAAAACTAGGATAAAGCAAAAAATTAGCAAAGGAATTTAATACAACTTTCTTGATAATTGATGTCTTAAGTAGACCAAAAGCAAATAACAATCTGTATAGTTTGACTAACAACATATGTTCTTTCCAAACACTTTGCATGTCCACAAAAATGGACCTATTATCAGGCTACAAAGAAATTGCGGAAAATTTTACAAAGCAAAAATTATATATGGATTAGAGTTTCTGATTTAAAGCAATCAAGTTAGAAATTAACAACAAAAGGTAATCCCCTCCAAAAAGGCAATCTACTTAAAAATATCAAAATATTATTTAATCTATTATTTTTTTTATTTTGGATCCAGGGTTACACATGCATATTTGTTATGTGGACATAGTGTAGTGGTGGGGATTTGGTCTCAGATGGCCCATTTCCCCGATAGTGAACATTGTGCCCCGTAGGTAGTTTCTGAACCCTAATCCCCCTGCCCCCTCCACCCTTATTGGCATCTCCAGTGTCTATTATTTCCATCTTTGTGACCATTTAGCTACTACCTACGAGTGAGAACATGCAGTGTTTGGCTTTGTTTCTGAGTCAGTTGACTTAGGATGTTGATATTCAGCTCCATCCATGTTGCTGCAAAGAACATGATTTCATTCTTTTTTATGGCTGTGTAGTATTCCATGGTGAACATATACACATTTTCATTACCTACTGATCAGTTGATGGGCATTTAGGTTGATTCTACATCCTTGCCATTGTGAATTGTACTGCAATGAACATGCACATGCAGGTGACTTTGTTATAAAACAAGCTCTGTTCCTTGGGGTAGATACCTAGTAGTGGGATTGCTGGATCAAATGGTAGACTGCTTTTTGTTCTTTGAGTAAACTTTGTTTTGCTTTCCATAGAGGCTGTACTAATTTACATTCCCACCAACAGTGTATAAGCATTCCCTTTTCTTCACATCTGCACCAGCATCTATTGTTTTTTGATTTTTTTTTGAGTTGAAGTCTCACTCTGTCGCCCAGACTGGAGTGCAGTGGCCGCTCCTGGCCACCGCAGCCTCGACCTGCTGGGCTCCAGCGATCCTTCCACCTCAGCCTTCCAAGTAGCCGGAATTACAGGCATGCGCTACCACGCCTGGCTGATTTTTTGATTTATTGTAGAGATGAGGTCTCGCTGCCCAGGTGGGTCTCGAACCTGTGGACTCAGGCAATCCACTCACCTCAGCCTCCCAAAGGCATGGGATTACAGGCTGAGCCACCAAGCCCAGCTGTTTTTTGATTTTTTAATAGCCATTCTGACTGGTGCAAGATGTTATCTCATTATTGCTTTAATTTGCATTTTCCTGGTTATGAGTGATGTTGAATATTTTTATATATGTTTGTTGGTCATTTGTATGTCTTTTGAGAGATATCTGTTTGTGTTTTTTGCCCACTTTTCTATGGGGTTATTTGCTTTTTTCTTGCTGGTTTGTTTGAGTTCTTTGTAGATTCTGGATATTAGTCATTTGACAGATGTATAGTTTGCAAATATCTTCTCTCATTCTGTAGGTTGCCTATTTGCTCTGTTGATTATTTCTTTTGCTGTGCAAAAGCTTTTTAATTTAATTACATTCCACTTATTTTTGTTTCAGTTTGATTTGCTTTGGGGATTTTAGCCATAAATTCTTTGCGTAGGCCAATGTCCATATGAATTTTTCCTAGGTTTTCTTCTAGGAGTTTTATGGCTTCAGGTCTGACATTTAACTATTTAATCCATCTTGGGTTAATTTTTGTATATGGGGAGAGATAGGAATGAAGTTTCACTTTTCTGCATGTAGCTATCCAATTTTCCCAGTACCATTTATTGAATAGTGTCCTTTCCCCGATGTATGTTTTAGTCTGCTTTACTAAAGGTTAATTGGTTGTAGGTATTTGGGTTTATTTCTGGATTCTCTATTCTATTCCATTGTTTCATGTGTCTGCTCTTGTACCAGTACCTTACTGTTTTGTTTACTATAGCCTTGTAGTATAATTTGGAGTCAGGTAATGTTATGCCTCCAACTTTGTTCGTTTTGTTTAGGATTTCTTTGGCTATTCTGGTTATTTTTTGGTTCCATATGAATTTTAAAATTGTCTGTTCTAATTCTGTGAAAAATGATGTTGGTAGCTTGATAGAGATTGCATTGAATCTGTAGATTACTTTGGGTAATATGGTCATTTTAATAATGTTGATTCTTCCAGTTCATAAGCATGGAATGTTTCTCCATTTGTTTGTGTCCTCTGCAATTTGTTAATCAGAGCTTTGTAGTTCTCCTTGTAGAGATTTTTTACCTTCTTGCTTAAATCTATTTCTAGGTACTTTAGCTTTGTAGCCATTATTGTAAATGGAGTTCTTGATTTGATTTTCAGCTTGGTCACTATTGGTACACCACAGTGCTACTGATTTGTGTGTGTTGATTTTGTATCCTGAAACTACCAAATTCCTTTATCAAGTCCAGGAGTCCTTTGGAGGAGTCTATAGGGTTCTCTAGGTATAAGATCATATTGTTGGCATACAGAGATAGTTTAATTTCTTCTTTTCCAATTTGGATCGCCTTTTTTTTTTCTTGCCTGATTGCTCTGGTTACAACTTTCAGTACTATGTTAAATAGGAGTGGTAAAAGTGGGCACCCTTGTCTTGTTCTAGTTCTGAGGGAGAATGTGTTCAACTTTTCTCCATTAAGGATGATATTGGCTGTGGATTTGTTGTATATGGCTTTTATTATTTTGAAGAATGTTCCCTCTGTGCCTATTTTGCTGAAAGTTTTATCATGAAGATCACGGCTGGGTTTTATCAAATGCTTTTTCTGCATCTATTAAAATGACCACATGACTTTTGTTTTAATTCTGTTTACATAGTAGATCACATTTATTGACTTGTGTATGTTGAACCACCCTTGTATCCCTGGGATAAAACACAGTTACTAATGATGTATTTTTGTGTGTGTGTGTGTGTGTGTGTGTGTGTGTGTGCTGTTGAATTCAGTTTGCTAATATTTTGTTGAGGATTTTTGCGTCTATGTTCATAAGGAATATTGGTCTGTAGTTTTCTTCTTTCATGATATCTTTTCCTGGCTTTGGTATCAGAGTGATACTGGCCTCATAGAATGAGTTAGGGATTCCTTCCTGTTCAATCATGTGTAATAGCTTCAGTGAAATTGGACCAGTTCTTTGAAGGTATGGTAGAATTCATCTGTGAGTCCATCAGGTCCTAAACTTTTTATTTGTTGTTTTTGGGAGACTTCTCATTACTTTTTCAATCTTGCTACTCATTATTGGTCTATTTAGGGTTTCTATTTCTTCCTGATTCAAGGTTGGGGGGTTTGTACATTTCCAAGAATTTGTCCATTTCCTCTAGATTGCCTAGTTTGTTTGCATAGAAGTGTTCATAATAGTCTCAGATGATCTTTTGAATTTTTGTCATATCAATTGTAATATCTCCATTTTCATTTCTGATTGAGCTAATTTGAGTCCTCTCTCTTCATTTCTTAATTAATCTAGTTAGTGGTCTATCAATTTTATCCTTTCAAAGAACCAACTTTTTGTTTCATTGATCATGTTTTTTTTTTTTAATTTCAATATTGTTTAGTTCTGCTCTGACCTTCATTATTTCTTTTCTTCTACTAGCTTTGTATTTGGTTTGCTCATGTTTTTCTAGTTCCTTGATGTGTGATGTTAAGTTGTTAATATATGATCTTTCAGTCTTATTAATGTAGGCCTTAAGTGGTATAAAGTTTCTTCTGTTCACAGCTTTGGCTGTGTCCCAGAGGTTTTGATAACTGTTTCATTGTTGCCATTCATTTCAAGGAATTTTTTTTTTTTTTTTTTTTTGAGTTGGAGTCTCACTGTCGCCCAGACTGGAGTGCAGTGGTTGCTCCTGGCCACCGCAGCCTCGACCTGCTGAGCTCTGGCGATCCTTCCGCCTCAGCCTTCCAAGTAGCTGGAACTACAGGCGCGCGCTACTCAAGGAATTTTTAAATTTTCATCATGATTTCATTGTTGACCCAAGAATTATTCAGGAGAAAATTGTTTAGCTTCCATGTCTTCGTTTGGTTTTGTAAGTTCTTGGAGTTAGTTTCTAGTTTTATTCCACTGTGGTCTGAGATGATGCTTGATATGATTTGATTTTTTTGAATTTATTTAGCCTTGATTTGTTGCCTACCATATGGTCTATCTTGGACAATATCGCTTGTAATGATGAAAAAAATGTTTATTCTATAGTTTTGAGATGGAATGTTCTATAGATTTCTATTAGTTCCATTTCCTCTAGAGTCCTGTTTAACTCTAATGTTCCTTTGTTGACTTTCTGCTTTGATGATCTATTTCTGTCAGAGTGTTGAAGTCTTTCACTATTATGTATTGCTGTCTATCTCTTTTTTAAAAGTCTAATAATCCCGCGCCTTTGGGAGGCTGAGGTGAGTGGATTGCCTGAGCCAACGGGTTCGAGACCCGCCTGGGCAGCGAGACCTCATCTCTACAATAAACCAAAAAATTAGCCGGGCGTGGTAGCGTGCGCCTGTAATTTCGGCTACTCGGAAGGCTGAGGCGGAAGGATCACCGGAGCCCAGCAGGTTGAGGCTGCGGTGGCCGGGAGCGGCCACTGCACTCCAGTCTGGGCGACCAAGTGAGACTCCAACTCAAAAAAAAAAAAAAAAAAGTAAAAGTCTAGTAGAATTTGTTTCTTAAAGCGGAGGGCTCTGGTGTTAGGTTAATATGTATTTAAAATTGTTAAATCTTCCCATTAGATTTATCCCTTTATCATTATATAATAGCCATCTTTGTTTTTTTGGGGTTTTTTTTAGTGTTGCTAATTTAAACTCTGTTTTATCCCATATGAGAATGGCTACTCCTGCTCATTTTTGGTTTCCATTTGTGTGGAATATTTTTTTCCACTTCCTTACCTTGGGTCTTCAGGAGTCTTTCTGAGTTTAGTGGGTCACTTGAAGGTAGCAGATATTTGGGTTGTTGGTTGGTTGGTTGGTTTTAATCGATTCTGCCAGTCTGTATCTTTTTAGTGGGGCACTGAGACCATTTACATTGAGTTAATAACTATATGTAAGGTACTATTCTATTCATCATGCTGGTTGTTATCTGTTGCTTTATTTATTTTCTCTATTGTGTTGGTGTTCCATAAAGCCTGTGAACTATATGAATTCCAGTGTTTTTCTAGTGGTATTTCAACCTTTTGTTTCAGTACTTAGAATTTCTTTGAGTATTTCTTGCAGTCTAGTGGTGACAAATTTCCTCAGTATTGGCTTGTCTTGAAGGACTTCATTTCTCCCTCATTTAAGAAACTTAGTTTTACAGGATACAAAATCATTGGCTGAAAATTCTTCTATTTGAGGAGATTGCAGACAGAAAAGTCTGTTGTTAGTCTGAGAGGTTAACCTTTGTAAATTATTTGATGCTTTTGTTTTACTTCTCTTAGCATTCTTTCCTTCACATTAATTTTGCTTAGTCAGATGATTATACACCTTGGAGATGACCTTTCTGCAATGAATCTTCTGGGGGTTCTTTGGGCTTCTTGTATCTGGATATTTAGATCTCTGGCAAGGTCAGGGAAGTTTTGCTCCATTATTGCCTCAAATAGGTTTTCCAAACCTGTTTCTTTCTCTTCTTCCTCCAGAACACCTATGAGTTTTAGGTTTGAACATTTTATATAATCCCACATTTCTTGTAGATTTTGTTCCATTCTCTTGATTCTTTTTTTCTTTGTTGTGATCTGATTGGGTTAATTCAAAAGCCTTGTCTTCAAGTTCTGAGATCCTTTCTTCTGCTTGTTCTAGTCTACTGTTAAAACTTTCCACTGCATTTTATACTTCCCTAAATGTTTCTTTCATTTTCAGAATTTCAGATTGGTATATTTTAAGGTGTCTACCTCTTTGGAGAATTTTTCATCTTTGTCCTGAATAGTTTTTTAAATTTCTTTATCTTGGTTTTCAATTTTATCCATAAATTTATTGAGCAATTTTATCATCAACCTTTGGAATTCTGTGTCTGGAATTTCAAAAATTTCATTTTGGTTAGGGTTCATTGCTGAGGAGTTTGTGTGGTCTTTTGAGGGTTTTGGAGAACTCTCTTTTTTATATGGTCAGAATTATTTTCTCATTTGGGTAGATAATTTCTTATTTGAGGTTGGCAGGGGCTGATGTAGGCATTGTAGGGTTCTCTTGTTTATACATAGGCTTGGTGTCATAAATTTCTCAGTTGCCAAATATAGCAGTCCTGTTCTGCGTACCTGCACTGGCTTACCACTGAGTGGCAATAGTGACTTGGAAAGTGTTGTTAGCTGGTGTTTGGGATCAGGACTTCCCCAAAGCTGAGGTATTGTACTCAATGTTGTTGGCTATACTATTGACCTCTGGACAGGAGCTGGCGCTTGTAAGAGATAGCTGGCTACCATGGTGGCCATAGGGTTTCTCCTTGGTGAGTCCCATGCTATCCTATTATATCTCATTTTACCATGCTCTTAAAGCCCAAGTTTTAGTTAACTAAACTAACAAACTAATCTACAGTAATGCCACACAGGTATTCTAGGGAGAAAGCTTTATTTTTCTGATTTAACCTCCAATGATTATAATGATGGGAATGAAGGCTGTGATGGCTAGAGGCACACGGCCTTTCAGTGACCACTAAATGACAATTAAATACTCTACCATTAATTAATCACTCTGTCACCCAGGCTGGAGTGCAATGGAATGATCAGAGCTCATCACAGCTTCAACCTCCTGGGCTCAGGCCTTCCACCTCAGTCTCCCAGCAGCTGGGATTACAGGTGCATGCCACCATGCCCAGCTAATTTTCTAATGTTTTTTTGTAGGAATGAGGTCTCTCTATGTTGCCTGGACTGGTCGTGATCTCCAGGGCTCAAGCAATTCTCTCACATTGGCCTTCCAACGTACTTAGATTACAGGTTTAAGACACCACGCCTGCCATCTACCATTATTTAATATATTCATAAGTTGGGCCATCCATTTTCTCCATATGCAGTGAAGCTCACCAAAGTAATAACCAACCAAACAAAAATAAAAACAAAACCAGAAACTAACAAATAAAAATCCCAACAAATTAAGCATGTGGATCTTTTTTTCTCTCTCATAAGACCTATTCTTTCTAGAGTAAGTTAGACTTAGCCAAATATAGAAACATACCTATCTACTGCTTAATGATTTTGTTCTCTAGTAGTCCTGGTCCCAGGACCTCTTTTATTCAATCTATTTGAATGGAATATGACTATGACGTGCCTTGTAAGAGAGCTTGGCAAAGCTGACGAAGAAGGTGTATCAGAATGAAGTTGTCTTGTCTTTTCTAACTCAATAAAAGTATGGTCAACTGAGCTAGTCACTGCTGCTAATAGCAATAAAGCTTAATGAGCTGTCTAACCCAATGAGCTAGCCAGTTAGAACTAAAAACATAATTTACATAGAAAAGAATATATTGGACCAAGACAGAAGAGATTGGTAAATGGATTATTTGAGGATGAACACAAAGGAAAACTCACCTCAAAAATGTTTCAGTTACTACACAAATACCAGATTCATCCTATACACAGGCCTTCACCTGAGAGTAGTAGACTGGGGAGACGTGTTGCAGTTTTTTGACAGAATCAGCAAAATTATCTAGAGCTGGGAAGTGAGCCAAGGGTTGCAGCAGAGACAACCTCCAGGTGGGTGTTCAGCAAATCAAGTTATGCTCTTAACTAGAAAGTAGGTGACTTTAGAGGTGCTTGTGGGGTAGTATTTGTTTGGAAGTGTATAGACCACCTCTGTAACTATTAAGATGTGAGAATTATTAATAAAATTCAGCTGAGTAAATTTATTTAATAAAAAAAAAAATCTTGTATCACACTCTAGCATGTTAAGGTGATCATAGGAGTCTTGGGGGCTACTGATGTGAATACTTGCTTGAGACACCTTCGTCCAGATAGCTCAAGTCAAGTTAAGGCCAAGGGGAATGAATGCTGTCTTGGTGGCTTAATGACACCTTAGGCCGCCATAGGCCACTGGAAACAGATTCCTTTTTTCCACAAGCCTAGGAGATAGGGGCTATAACTCATGAAGAGCAATGAATGAAAATTGTAAAAGTCGGTAGCCACAGTTAACTCCTTTAATACTTGCATACTGTCAGGTGCATCCTAGACTGTCACCGTCAATTGCATATTCAGATAATATGACATAATTCCTAAATTATATAATCTTTACTTTTAGTTTAGTTCATAACCCATCCCTACCAGGTAAGTGTCCATTGTTACATATCTCCAATAGTTGTTCAAATGTACAATCATAAAGAAAAATACAGGCCAGGCACAGTGGCTCATGCCTGTAATCCCAACACTTTGGGCAGTTGAGGTGGGAGGATCACTTGAGCCCAGGAGTTTTGAGACCAGGCTGAGCAACATAGTAGGACCTTGTCTCTACAAACAAATTTTAAAAATTAGCCTGTGTCTGTAGTCCCAGCTACTCAGGAGACTGAGACAGAAGGATCTCCTGAGCCCAGGAGGTCAAGGCTACAGAGAGCTGTGATTATGCCACTGCACTCCAGCAGCTTAGGTGACAGAGTGAGATCCTGACTCAAAAAAAAAAAAAAAATTGAAAGAAAAATACAATGCAGTTTTGCAAGAAAGTATTAATACTGCCAAGTTATTCATTGTTTAAGTTAAATAGGATAACCAACTATGGTGCAGTTTTAGGAAGGATATTTTTTTCTTAACATTTTCCTTATTCATGTTTACTTTCTCTGTTTTGGAACTTTCTTTCATTTTTTTCCATCTCAATGCCACTTTTTCCACTTAACCAATTTAATCCTGTCTTCTACAGAAAGCCACATGTATAGTCCATACACTAAAGCTTCTAAGATTTTAATCTATTTCCCGTGTTATAAAACAATTTTATTTTCTAAGTTTTTTCTTCACAAAATACTCTCCCAAGTTCCGTTACCCATATTGCCACACATAACTTGATTTTAAACCCAGTGAATTACACTGCTTTTGGCCATTGCAATGTCTTGGTTTTTTGTAAATGAAATATCATTCAAAGTAGGTAATTGCCTCTTTTAATTTAATAAGCTATGAATTGTAAAATAATTTCTGAACAATGTCATCTTTAGCTGTTCACAAAAGGAAAACATGAGAAGAAAACATGGTTTGAATCTCGGGATTTCTGTAGAGCTATGGGTGGAGACCTAGCTAGTATCAATAATAAAGATGAACAGGAAACAATATGGCGATTAATAATGTAAGTATCTTTTCTACATAACACTCCTTTTTTAAAAAAAATCTGTTTGGTTCTAGTGATGTTGAGAAAATTCTTATATTTCTGAAATTGTTGGTTTGCAATGTTATTTGAACACCTGTGTCATCTCCCAAGCCTATGGACTCTTCTTAATCTAGTTTCACCTCCAACCCCTTTACTTTTTAATGTATAAATTCTGTAATGAATTGCTCTATAAAAATATAAGTCACAATATATATTTGTTAAATACACGAATGAATAACTATCTTTCAGTGCTTTACAATTATTTATTCTCAAGCGATGGCCCAATATTTGGTATATGTATGATCTGAACCAAAACACACATCTATTTCATAAAACTTACATTTAGTTGTTAAATCTCTTTACTTGTGTACTAATTTATGTTTTGGAGGTAACTTTCAAATCTGGTTAGTCTTTGTAGGCCACCAAACTTTTTTCATGCAATAGCACATGCTTTCTTCATGTTTTGGATATTGTAGGGCCAGTGGAAACTACCATGAACTGTTTTGGTTGGGACTGACATATGGAAGTCCTTCAGAGGGCTTTACATGGAGTGATGGTTCTCCTGTAAGTAATTTGACTTAATATATCATTTTCTTACTTTGTCATGTATTCATTTTAATGGCATCCTTCAACTTAACCATATTTTTAGTAAGACAGGCCATTGCAATAACTACAGAGATGTTTCTGTGCAAAATAAATGCCATTTTAGGACCATTGTCTTGCCCCTGCCCCACTTTAGTTCCATTCATTCAAGGCATAGCTTGACTGTATGAAAAAAAAAAAATAGAAAGAGCTGGGCATGGTGACTCACGACTATATCCCCAGCACATCGGGAAGCTGAGATGGGAAAATCTCTTGAGCCTAGGAGTTCGAGACCAGTCAGGTAACGTAGTGAGATCTCATCTCTACAAAAAAAAAAAAAAATTAACTGGGCATGGTGGTGCATGCCTATAGTCCCAGCTAGATGATAGACTGAGGCAAAAGGATTGCCCGAACCCAGGAGATCGAGGCTGCAGTGAGCTTTGATTATGCCACTGTATTCCAGTCAGGGTGTACTCCAGCCAGGGTGACAGAATGAGACTGAGACTCAAAAACCAACAAACAAATAACAATAAAAACTCATTCCACTACTTTATATAAATATATATCTTCAATCTGCCAGGCAAAATTGGTAAACAGATAGTTCAACTTTCTAAAAGTGGTGTGTATAGCCTTGTATAGATCAGTAGAACTGGAAACACTTTTGATATTCCCATTAATAGCTATTAAACTTAGATTTCTCAGGAATGAAGAAGTGAGGGATTATGGCACATGTTGGCTATATTTAGAAATTCTAGTTGCTACAGAAAGTGATTTTGTGTAACTTCAGTTCTGCCTTCTCTTATAACCCACTGGCAGTTTTTCAAGGGACTTGGTGTATGATATTTTATTTGATGGTTCCATTGATATTTGGATTTTATACTTACATCTCTGGAAAATATATTATCATGCTGAGTCCAAAACCCTGTGGGCTATGATTCCACATTGGAAACTCCATAGAAGACCTAAACCCAGGGCTCCATTCATTTCCGCTGTTGATTTTCTCCATGTTTGGTAGCTTTGGTAGCAGAATTTTATAGGTCTTTTCCTTTTGCAAGAAGAATTAATTGTATTTCTTAATCCTGTCCACTTAATAAAGAAAAGTTCCCACAACACACTGAAATATTATCCCTTAAAAAATGGTTTGTAAATGTAGGAACTCGTAATACTGAGAAGTAAAGCTTTTTTGCCAAATTTTTCCTATATATACATTCCATTTTAATGGCCCTTGGATAAATTCTATTTAGTAAGAGAAAAAAAGTTTTTATAATAATCAATTGCACACTCTTTTCAACTTCACAAGTTTTCATGTTATGAAAGCAATTCTTTTTCTACTCATGTTTATGAAATGTACTTTCGAAGCAAAGCTATTGTGAAAAAAAGTAAACGAATAAAACAATACAAATCTATCTGTCCTTTTCTGTTGGGATAGATGATTGACATTGGTCTGACATAAATGGTTGTAATTTTATGTTTCTCATACAGGTTTCATATGAAAACTGGGCTTATGGTGAACCTAATAATTATCAAAATGTTGAATACTGTGGTGAGTTGAAAGGTGACTATGGGATGTCTTGGAATGATATTAACTGTGAACACCTTAACAATTGGATTTGCCAGATTAAAAAAGGTATGATCACTTGTCTTTTCCTTTATCTCAGCTTGGAAAACTAACTTCCTGATACCCCAATATCTTTCCCTTATTAGCAGAAGCAAACAAACAAAATAACAAATTCAGGGAACTGTCAGGGGCCATTATATCACAGGATAAGAATGAAGTCGCTGAGCACAGATAAATGTTCCAAAGGAACAGAAGATCAAAAGGCCACCCGGGAGTCCTGGACAAGAGTCACGTCCTCCAAAATAGTTCCCACGAGCAGCTCTGAATCTGGCTCAGGTTCCACAGTGGCAGAAGTTTGTGGGTGTCCTACATTGTAAACAGAGTAACAAAAATGCAATTTCTTTCTTTTTTAATTGTCACCTTCTGATTGTCTACATTAGTCACCAAGTATGTGACCATATCCCCATGTCTGCATATTCTAAGTATTGACTTCTCAAGTAAATTTCACACAAAGAACGAGCATAGTGTGGGGTCCTGATACTATTAGACCCACTATGTTTTTTGTTTTTGTTTTGTTTTGTTTTTTGAGTTGGGGTCTTCCCCTGTCACCCAGGCTGGAATGCAGTGGCACAATCACAGCTCACCACAGCCTCAACTTCTAGGGCTCCGGTGATCCTCCCACCTCAGCCTCCTGTGTAGCTAGGACTACAGGCATGTACCACCACACCAGCTATTTTTTTTTATTTTTTGCAGAGATGAGGTGTCACTATGTTGCCCAGGGTGTAGACATACCATGTTATTGATGGTCAAAAATATGAATGCTGTCTGTCATTATCTGTGACTCTGAAACTTCCACATATCCCAAGTCAGGCATTGAGGTCAGAGGATCCAGGTTCTAATGTGAAGATAAACCAACAAATAAACAAACCTATCCTTGAACTTTGTCCAGTGCAAAACAGATCAATGGAACTGCGTTGCCTTCTGATGTTGAGCGAATCTTGGCAATTGTCCCTAGGACAGTAGGAGATACCTTACTGTTCTGTTTATTTTCCTTATTCCTTTGTTTATTATTGCTTTCAAAGTTTCCAGAATAGAGGAATCAATGGTTGTCAGTTTTTTTTAAGTCTCTTAGTAGTAGGTCTAACTAAATAACCCGAGTTTCTTTATCAGATTCCAACAAAACCCCGATATATCATTGCCTACTTGGAAAGAAAAAGATTGCATTTAACTTTTAGTAAAACATATACTTAATAAAAAGAATACTTTAAAGAAAATATATTTTATATTTATAAACAAATAGTTTACAGTTAATGGCTTCAAGTAATGAAATTACAAGTAATTTCACAGCTAATTATAAGATGTCTGACCAGAAAACTAACCTCTATTGAGCACCTGTTACTTACCAATAACTCACATGTTTTAACCCAGTTATTTACACATATTACTCGTTTCTTTTTGTATTTGACAAAATAAAGGCTAAACAACTTGAACTCAGGCTTGAGATTTGAAGCTAAGCTTTCTGATTCTAAAACTCATGTGGTTCTCTTTCCTTTATATGACACTACTTGTGCCTGAAAGCTATCTTCTAATTCCTGGTGGCCAATACTGTACTTAATTTGTTTAACTCTTGACTCCTAATTCTCTTTTATTTCATTCTCCTTTTCACAACATGATAAGTGATTTGGAAAGAAGAGGGTAGATGAAAAAAAGAGAAAGAGCAATTAAGATTTTAGGATATTAACTCATGAAAATAGTGAAAAATAGAAGGATATCCAGAGGGTGCCAAAAAAACATATATATTATACATTTTAAGAAAGGAAAAAAACAATATTAAAATTGTAATGCTCAATAGCTACCAATAACAAAAGAGAAATACAAATCATGTCTGACTCCTGCAATTACAAGAGGTGCTCAAAGTGGTTACCATCAGCACCCAGACACTTCTGATTATGATGAATAAGTGCTTGAGCAACACTGAACAGAGTGTCCACTTGTATAACATTGTACATGCCATTCAATTTCTTCCTGAAGTACCACCAATGCGGCCAGTTTTCTACAGTACACCACATTCCTTAGGGTCCTCCCTAAGTAGCAGTCAAGGGGTGTTAAGTCAAATACCACTTCGAAATGGTCTTGTGCTCCTCAAATGACAACTATGCTTCCTCCCTTTTCTTTGACTGTCCTGTCTGTGGCATGGTGATGCTACCATTCATTTGATGGATGCCATCTTTTGAGCGAACATCACATGACAAATTGCTACCATCATTCAATTCAACTTTGAAAAGTAATACATAGATAACATCTCTTAAAATGTATATACATTTTTTGTGTACAATTTTTGGCAAACTCCCAGTATTGTTGAAGAAATTCATTTTTTCCCTAATTTTCTCTTGTTTTACAGGACAAACACCCAAACCGGAGCCAACACCAGCTCCTCAAGACAGTAGGTGTTTTCAAGTTTTCTGATCTCTGTATTGATAGCCCCTTTCCCTTCTTTTCTTTCTCGGCGAAAATATTACTTACCCCAGGAAGGTGGAGAGCAGAGGTTCTTAATATCTCTTATGAGACTTTTGGGAAAGTCTGGATCTTCCTCTGCAGAGAGAAGCTCATATGCATGAGCGGAAGGCATGTCAGTATACTTTTTTAAGGGTTCACGCCCAGGTTTCTCCTTCTCTAGCACATATGTTAGTTTCTAATGGCCACTGTAATCAATGACCATAAACTTGGTGGCTTACACCAACACACATTTATCCCCTCACAATTCGGGAAGTCAAAAATCTGAAATTAGTTTCACCGGGCCAAAATCCAGATGTGAGCAGGACTAAGCTCCCCCAAGGGGCTTAAAGGGAAAATCAATCCACTTCCTTGCCTTTACCAGCGTGTAACACTAAGTTCCTCGCATTCATTGGTTCGCGGCTCCTTCTTCCATCGTCAAAACCAGCAGTGTGCTGTTTTGTTTCAGTAGTCACCTGGCTTTCTTCCCACATAGCCAGTCTCCCTCTACCACTCCCTACAAGGACGTTTGTTACTACATTCAGGGCCCCCCTAGACACTCCAGGGTAATCTCTCCATCTCAAGATCCTTAATTTAATCACATCTACAGAGTTCCTTTTTCCATATAAGTTAACATTCATAGGTTCCAGGGATTAGGACCTGGTTCTCTTTGAGGACCTTGATTCAGCCTCCTCTAGTACAGAGCCATAGAATCCTACGGTTTGGTAACAGCCTTAGGAGCCCGCCCTCAGTTTTCCCATTCTGTTCACCCAAGATGTACCCAAGTTCATCAGTTAAAAGTTTGTTCTAGCACCGAGATGGAATCTGCTCGCTCATTGTTTCCACTCCTTGGAGTTGGCACATTAGGGGTGTGTGTATGTAAAGTCCTCCAGCTGTGCTATGCTGTTGACGAAAATGACACTGGGGGTTCTTTGATCCCACAATGACTCATGAAACTTAGTTGGGGAAAAAAAGTGGCTAGTTTTTAACAGGACTGATAAAAAGTAAGTATGAGGCCTTTGGCGATTCAGTCTGTATTTGACATAGACAGTCTGCTTATTCTGGACTCTCAGAGTTGCAGGTACCCCTAGTTAGCTCCTTTTTTATTTTTATTTTTATTTTTTTGAGTTGGGGTCTCACTCTGTCGCTCAGGCTGGAGTGTAGTAAGTGGCAAAATCGTGGTCTTCGCAGCCTTGACCTCCAGGGTTCAGGCAATCCTCTCACATCAGCCTCCAAAGTACCTGGGACAACAGGTATGTGCTAGGATGCTTGGCTAATCCTTTGATTTATTGTCGAGGTGAGGTCTCTACTATGCCCAGCCTCCTTTGTTCTGTTCTCTTCATTTTTGTGTACCATATGTATCAGATTCTTAGATTCATCTGAGTAAAATTCATCACCTTTTCTCATTAATTTTTCAGATCCACCAGTCACTGAAGATGGGTGGGTTATTTACAAAGACTACCAGTATTATTTTAGCAAAGATAAGGAAACCATGGACAATGCACGAGCATTTTGCAAGAAGAACTTTGGTGATCTTGTTTCTATTCAAAGTGAAAGTGAAAAGAAGTTTCTGTGGAAATATGTAAGAACATGATTAATTTAAGGATGGGACAATGACATGTGATAAACATAGATAGTGTCTATAATTGGTACTACACAGAACAATTTCTAACTATGTGCTGAATTTGCACTTCCTAAGGTCAGGGATAAAGATATGAATCCTGGGAGAGGAGGCCATGACAGAAGCTATGTCTTATTTTTTTAGTATCTTGTGTAGACTCACAGAACCCAGAAACATTTTTTTACTCTGGGCTTCATGAGGATCCAGAGTTTATGGCTTTGAGTTCACTAATTGTGGTTGTCAGAGATTATAATTTTTAGTTGGTTGTTATATATCAATCCTGGACCCACTGTGTATTATACAATTTGATTAGTAACTTAAAAATCTAGTTTAGTTGAATCGTATTGTTGGCTAACAAATAGTACAACTTGATTATTCATATAAAAATCTTTCTTGGCATACCAAGATTGTCAGCTGTCACTGAAGGTGTAATTTACTTTTTTTCCACGAGTGCTTGGTTCAGTATCTTTCTGATTAAAAACCCTCATGAACTCCTCACTACTAGAGAGGAGGTAAGAGAGAGAGCAGTAAAAAATGAATTTATCAGTATTGAAAGAATAAAAATGTGCTTGATTATAAGGTATTAGAGTATAGTCTGACTTATCATTTTTTTAGATATACCCTGCTTTGAAATTTTCAGTATATTTCCCAATATTGCAAATACACACACACACACACACATACACACACACACACACACACACACATACACACATTAGGGGTGCCAAAAAAAGGTATGCAAATTTTAAGAGATGTTCGCTGTAATCAATGTCTGGATGCTGATGGTAAACACTTTGAGCACCTCTTGTAGTTGCAGAAGTCAAATGTGACTTGTATTCATCTTTTGTTATTGGTTTATATTACAATCTTTATATAGTTGATTCCTTTCTTAAAATGTATACATTTTGGGGGCACCCTGACAACTTTTTTTGATTCTTAGTCCCACTGACTACTTTGTTTTAAAGGACATCAACAACCTAACGACTGGGCATTTAACATTGCAGAGAATGATTTAAAGTGTTCACTTTATAAATGCAGGTTGTTAAATTGTGTGCATTTTTTTATTCATAGGAAAAACCATGTAGAATATACAACATTTCTGCCTGAATTCCTCTTTAGAAAAGGTTTTAAATAGGGTGCCTCATTAATATGTAGGTTTTGTTTAGAAGTTTCTGATCATGTGATTATAAATTGAACTATTGCAAACTTCATTGTTTTAGGTAAACAGGAATGATGCACAGTCAGCATATTTTATTGGTTTATTGGTCAGCTTGGATAAAAAGTTTGCGTAAGTAAATCAAATTAAAACAACTTTGCTTGGATAGTGGCCAGGTAAATATGAGTTATGTTGAGACCTTTGCTTTGTGAAATGCATTTAAATATCCTATAGAATTCTCAATCCAGAAAGCATCTTTAAAAAAATTAAAAAGAATTTGAAATAATCCTACTAAATCTTTTCAACATTTTAACTCTCAAACAACTTGAAATTGGATTTAATCATGCAGAACGCCACCTGTCTGTTTTCAGATATCATCTGTTAGTAAATCATCTACTAAACAGAAGTATTCACTATATATATGAATACTGGACATATTTTAAAAATTATGATCTGGGCTGGGTGTAGTGGCCTTCTCCTGTAATTCTAGCACTCTGAGAGCCTGAGGCAGAAATATCTCTTGAGCCCAGAAGTTCAAGACCAGCCTGGAAACAAAGGGAGATCTTGTCTCTACAAAATATTAAAATAAAAAATTTAGCTGAGCATGGTGATGTGCGCCTATAGTCCCAGCTACTAAGGAGGTTGAGGTGTGAGTGTTGCTTGAGCCCAAGAGGTCAAGGCTGCTGTCAGCCATGATTGTGCCACGGCATTCCAGCCTAGACGACAGAGTGAGACCCCAGCTCAAAACAAAATTATGATCTGGTTTGGACTAACTGTGGTGCCCTTTAGAAACAGAGGATCCAGGCCGGGCTCGGTGGCTCAGCCTGTAATCCTGCGCCTTGGGAGGCCGCAGTGAGTGAATTGCCTGAGCCCGCGGATTCGAGACCTGCCTAGGCAACTTGGCAAGACCTCATCTCTACAATAAATCAAAAAAATTAGCCGGGTGTGGTAGCGCACACCTGTAGTTCCAGCTACTTGGAAGACTGAGGCGGAAGGATTGCCAGAGCCCAGCAGATCAAGGCTGTGGTGGCCAGGAGCGACCACTGCACTCTAGTCTCGGTGACAGAGTGAGACTCCAACTCAAAAAAAAAAAAAAAAGATAAAAGAAACAGAGGATCCTCTCCTGTTACCCTACTCGCTGTGTTACCCGCACTAGTTTGAAATATTTTTTCAACTTCATGAAAAGCTTTCCCTTTAAAAGAGTGATTGTAGTGTTTTCTATTAGATATAGGAGCCAGGAAAAACTGTGAAGTGAGAAAATTGGCACATTTTGGGGTTCCTTTCCTTGTTCGTTAATATACATGTTCTCACTAGTTTGAAGAGCAGATATGTTCCCCTGGCTGATGCTCAGATATTTTAGTCACATATGTTCCGAGACGGTTATTACTATATTTGAGCAATAGAGACTTAAACTCAAGGTCATTATTATTATTGTTATTGAGTCAGAGTCTTGCTTTGTCACCCAAGCTGGACAGCAGTGGTGCGATCATAGCTCACTGCAGCCTGGAACTCCTGGGCTCAAGCTATCCTCTCGCCTGAGCTTCTCTAATTGCTGGAACTATAGGTGCGCTACCATGCCTGGCAGGGACATTATTTTTAAAGAACAAAAACATTTGATATTCTTTTAGAAAAGCACCCATTTTATCATCTCTCAAATGAAAAGATCAAATTCAGTGATGTTATGGTCACTTTCTGCTCTCATGGTCTCTGAATTTCTATATTTTATAAAAATATGCATTGGCCCACCTACCTTCCGAGAAACTAGAGTAGACATGCAAATCAGAGAATGGGTTTAGTGAGAAATTCTATCCTCTCTGCCTCTCTGTGGGTGGTTCGGCTTTGTGGTAATCATGCCCGAAGATTACTATGGGAGGATTTTAGTTTCTGGCCCACTTCCAGAGTAATTGGGATCTCCACTAAAGGTAGATTCTTCCAGAGAAGGAAAAGAAGACAGACCAGCTAAGATGACAGGCTTGCTACAAAGGAACACTAATGCAAGGGACATACAAATACCCAGGCATTGGGGATTTTTCTGCCATTCTCTGTAGGTCTCTCTCTTCTGGGTCGACTAGTCCTTTGCCATCAATAGGCTGTAGCCAATTGTGCGAATGATTGGATTGTTGCAAAATGCCTGAATTTTCTTTTCCAGTTGGATGGATGGAAGCAAAGTAAATTATGTGTCTTGGGCCACAGGTGAACCCAACTTTGCAAACGAGGATGAAAACTGTGTCACCATGTATTCAAATTCAGGTAGACAATACACAGATCTTCTTGAACTTGTTTTGTGGTACGATATATCATTTCTTACATGCATAGGCTAAAAGTAGCAAGTTGTGCACTTAAGTCAAGCAAGATAAGAGACAATAAAGGAGAATTCTAATTTTGGCAGCATACCCATTCCATTTGTATGGGGAATGGATGCTTGATAGACGCACCAATAAATGACATAGTCGATCTTCTGACTTCTTCCTACATTATGAAACTTTTTTCATGTTCCGATTTGAATAAATATCCCAAGTATGTGTATCTTTCTCCTTTATCTCTCTCTCCATCTCCTTATTATTCTGTAAAGTGGGAACAATGATAGAATGTATCTGTTCTTGAGACGATTCGATGAGATTGAACATATAAAACGTTAAGTCGATGCCTGTTGTATCTAAAGTTTAGGGGTATTGTTAAATTATTATTATACTATTAGCTATTACTATTTAGATAATATATCTGCAACCTGCTTGGTTCCTAGGAAGCTCTCTCCGAAGGTGAACTATATTTATTATTCATGTAAGTGAAAGAGCAAGAGGATATGGTGTGGATTCTTCTAGTCACTTGTGTAAAAATAAAGTTTGATTATAGTCTCTAAACTATTTTTGAAAATCTTTGTGAAATATACATACTTTTTTTAAAAAGTGTTTCTAAGCAGAAACATGGAAATCTAACTTAACTCTTTTGCTCTTTGCCAGGGTTTTGGAATGACATTAACTGTGGTTATCCAAATGCCTTCATTTGCCAGCGGCATAATAGCAGCATCAATGCCACGGTCATGCCTACCACGTTACCAGTTCCATCAGGTTGCAAGGAAGGTTGGCATTTTTACAATAACAAGGTACTAAGAAGAATTAGTTACAATATTGGCATTGATCCAGATGAAGAGTGACAATGTAAATCTTTTAGTTCAAAGCTAAGTTTTGCTTATCTAGAAAATTCTGGGTAAGGATAGGTGAAGATTTTTGTGACAAATTCTCTGTGGAAATTGAGAGCATACTTGAGATAGTATGCAAATAGTTGGACCCTTTATCCCAAGGGTTACTCAAACTTTGCAAAGTAACTACTTCATTTTTAAATCTCAATTGTATTGTGAGAAAATTTAGATTTAGTGATAATTTTCATGATCATTTTGTCTGTCACCCAGGCTAAAGTGCAATGGTACAATCATGGCTCATCACGGCCTTGTCCTCCTGGGCTCAGGCGATCCTTCCGCCTTGGCCTCCCAAAGTGCTGGGATTACAGGCCTGAGTCACTACACCCAGCCATAATTTTTTTTTTAAGAGCAAACTTTATTATCTTTAGTTAACTTCTATGATTTTTTTCTCTTCATTCCAGTGTTTCAAAATCTTTGGATTTGTTGAAGAAGAAAGAAAAAGTTGGCAAGAGTCACGAAAAGCTTGCATCGAATTTGGAGGAAATCTGGCATCCATACAAAATGATAAAGAACAAGGTCTGCTGGCCATTTTCAATCAATGATGCATGAAAATATGTAATTTTGCCTGTAAAATGGTAAATTATTGCTGAGAGTAAATTATTATTATTATTTATTTTGTTTCCTAGAGCAAAAACTAGGAAGGAAGGAAAAAACCAGACACTT